CCGGGTGGTCGGGACGGCGGTGATAAGGATCATGTTTGTGTGTTGCAGGTGGGCGGCTTCGACTGTGATGACGCGGATGAACAACATACCGTCTGAGGAGGATCCCGGGACTGCGGTACCGGCGCTGATCCCCTACTGGGACCTGTGCAACCACTCCAACGGACGGGTCAGTTGGCCCATCCCTCCCCCCACCCAACCCTACCCAACCCCTCCCCTACTGGGACCTGTGCAACCACTCCAACGGACGGGTCAGTTGTCCCAATCCATTCTGGTATTGTCACAACCATTTTCTTATGGCGTAGTTTCTGCTTTGTTACTAACACCAAATAAATATGGCCCACCCCCGCCGATGATCGCCGACCCGTGGCCGCGGCTGGTGGTGCGTCTCGCCCCTGTCCGTGAGCCTGTGCCGCCCACCGGGGCTGTCCGTGTGCCGCCGACCTCCGCCCGGTCGCCGCTCGTGACTTCCAGTCGCTGTCAGTGCCGCCGGCCGGCGCACGTGGCTGGCCATGCCTTATCGACAAGGTCCGGGCGTATTGTCGTATTGTCGGCTGCTGTTCGGGGGCTACCTGTCATCGCTCTGGAACTCCATTGTTATTTGTTTGGCCCTGGGTATGACCAGTGACCACCCACCCGGGTGTCTGTCGCGGTTCGTTTACAGGCCAGAATTTACCCCGTTACTGTAATCGCCCACACAGATTAGTGTAGATCTAGCCCTTTCTGAATCACTCTCCATTTCCTGTGTCCCGTCGCAGACTGTGACGCTCCCGTGCCTTGTGACAGCTTTTGACACCCCGTCAGAGTGGCATTTGACCGTCTGGGCCCTACCACAGTCCTTGATACCCTCTCACAGTGTGACACTCCCATGTGCTCCGTGACAGTCCCTGACACCCTATCTGACGGTGCCGTATGACAGTCGTGCCCTGCCACAGCCCTGACACCCTCTGACAGTGTGACAGTAGTGCCCCGTCACAGCCCTGACACCCTCTCACAGTGTGACACTCCCATGTGCTCCGTGACAGTCCCTGACACCCTATCTGACGGTGTGCCCCCTCGGTCAGGTGTCGACCGACTACTGCCACGACCCGCCCAGCTCCATATGTTTCGCCTTCCGCGACTTCGCGCCCGGCGAGCAGTTCCACATCTTCTACGGAGTCCGACCGAACGCAGAGTTCCTGCTCCACAACGGGTGAGTTGACTGCGCCCTGACCTCAGCACAGCGCAGGGGAGATGGGGGCGGAATGGTGCGGCGCGCCGCGAGAACTGATCGATTTTAACACGAAATGCAAAACACGCCAGAAGTTTGTAATGTAGAAATCAGAGAACATTTGGGGGTGATTGAAGTGAAACTGGTGACCGGGTGTGGTATTTTCGGCCGGGTTACGGGTGTCCCTGGGCGCAGTTTTCTCCGGTGTTTCAGTCTGCCCCCTCCCTCCCCGCTGTCCGCCCGGTGTGGGGCGCCGTGGACCGTGACCAGTGTGCCCCCCGGCCGCCGCCCCAGCCGTGAGGGGACCACTTTCTCACCGGCGGCCCGCTGACCGGTCCGCTAACGTTTTCCGTCACTGGCATTACTTCCGCGCTCTCCGGAGATGGAGCGTTGGCCAACGGTCGCTTTCGATCTCCTCTGGCTGCGCCTGAGTGCGCGCCGCGCCGACCTCTGGGGACGGGGTCGGCCACGCGTGTCGGACCGCCCGAGGGATGACGGCTCGGTGACGGCGGCGCGATGACGACTCGGTGACAGGGGCGCGATGACGGCGGCGGGTAGCGATAAGTCGGCGATGGCATGACATGATGTGCAGGTGGTGATCTCAATGTTTTGGTGTATTCATAAATAAGCAAAATGGGAACGTAAGAACTATTATGATTTATGAAATCATTTAGGAACTTTTTATGAACTAGCAGAAGCAGAAGTTACCTGCCTCTCAATGATCACAATTGTGAACAGCTTTGCGAGATGGGAAGTTGAACAACTAAAATCGTCTTGACATTCATTTGACAATTGACATTCATTTCTCATCAACTGACAGCTTTTGTTCGCAAATGAATTTAAGTATAAGCCATTTCAATAGACAAATAGCGGTTATGGCTGCCGTACTCCAACGGTTCATAGGTATTGCGTGGGTGGGGCAGGCTCGTGCCAGTGTACTGCGCGCAGCTTCAGTCCGAATATTGGGCGTGCCCCGCTGAGCACGGCGCCGGGCACACCCGACACGCCGATCGCCATGTCGCCACGCCGTGCCGGGACCGTCAGATCAATTAAAGGCTGGCGGGACCAATAAAGACCTGCAACCGGTGGAATTGGTCTGTGTGAAATGTCACGCCAGGCGCCTAGTTCGTGGTCCGAGAGTCGGGGGCGGACAAGGCCGCGGAAGGCCGGTGGCGGGTCGACCCCGCCCTCCCCTCACTCACACTCTCGGTGGCGGCGGGGGAGACGGCGCCCGGTCCGAGTTTCACTGCGGACCGTGGGCAGCGGCCGTCGATAGCCCTCGTAATGGCGACTGACCGGACACACTCGAGTGGGCTGGAGAGGGGCTGTTGGTCACGGGTCGGGGGTCGGGGCGGAGCCGCCGGGTCAGGAGAGGGTTACATAACGCAATTTGGGTACTGTGCTCACCAGAATGTGTGCAGTCACTACACGCTGGACTCAGTTCTCTCATTAGACGGTGATATGGCGATAAGTGGTCCGTTTTCTCCGTGTGCCTGCCGGTGGCATGGCTTGCTACTGGCACAGCGGCGGGTAAATAAATGAAACAACGCCTGCGCCCATACCCACGGCGCTCTCCCGACACGATGACCGGCGATTAATCTGTGACAGCCCGAACTGGTTCGGTCAACTCTCTCTTTCTCCGTGTTTCCCGGGTCCGTGACCAACTGTCTCCCGGCATGCCTATATTGATAGTTTTTAATGTCTCCACCGAGGCTGTAGAACTGTCTGCTGGGATTCCAACGCCAAAGTTCAGTCAGAAACATTTGCGATGTGAATTTGTTTAATTTGAATATGCTGCATATGACAGGTGTCGTGCCTTAGCGTTTTAGGTTGCCAGTCCATCCGGGCCTAAGGCCTCTTCACCATGCCCGTCCTGTCCTGACCCTCTCCCCCACCCTTGCTCCCCGCAGATCCGTTCCTGTCCCACCGCGTCACCTCTAACCCTCCCTCCCCTCCGCTCCCCAGGTTCGTCGACGCCGACAACGAGCACGACGCGGTGGCGGTGCGTCTGGGAGTGAGCCGCGGCGACCCGCTGCACGAGCCGCGCGCCCGCCTCCTGGAGCGGCTGGGCGTGCCGGCCAGCGGCCTGTTCTACCTGCACCGCGAGGGCTCGCCCATCGACGGATCCCTCTTCACCTTCCTCAGGGTGTTCAACATGGACGCCGGTGAGACGCAGCGCGGAGGACGGAAAGGGGTGGCTTTAGAGGGGAATAGAGCGAAAGTGGTACGGGTTACGGGCTACGAACTCCCTCGGCCGGAAGGAAACAGGATAGAAAACTGAGTCTATAAATTATTCATTTCGAAGATGAGGTGTGGTCTGTAGCGTTATTAGCCCTCATTTGAAGCTTGTGCGTCATAATTTGCAGAGCTGTTTGTCTGTGCAAGTTCTGCGTCTTCTTGCGTAGCACCCTCGTGGCCTGTTTCAATCTTCACACCTGTCTGTTCGACAGAGACGCTGGAGCACTGGCTGCGTGTGGATAACGTGGGCGACCTGGGCTCGGAGCAGTGTGACGGCCTGCCGGCCGGCCTGCAGCTGGCCGCCTGGCGGTTCCTGCACACGCGCGTCACGCTCCTGCTGCGCCTGTACCCGGGCACGGCCGAGGCCGACCGCGCGCTGCTAGCCGCTCCGCCTGCGCCGCCGCCAGAGGGCGCCGCCGACGCGCCGGCGCCGCTGACGCCGCGCGCTCGAATGGCAGTCACCCTCCGGCTCGGCGAAAAGCTGATCCTGCAGCGCGCGCTCCGCTTCGCCACCGACAAAATGCACGAGCAGGAGCTGCTCGACCAGGAGCTGAAGAGTCAGGAGATTCAGGAGCCCGTCGAGCAGTAGCGGTCGTTCAGACGGTCCGGCGATACGGATTCCCCACCGCTCAGAGCTAACGGAGACGGCCCATGATTGTCCGCCGCTGGGGTGTGCGTGGGCAGGGGTGGGGATGCGGGGGCCGTCACAAAAGGGAGATACCAGGGGAGTTCCTGTGATGGTATTTTTCGGCTCAGAGTTTGTACAGTCAGGGGGTTGTTTCGGTGCTGGGGAGGCAAGGTCCGTCCAGGCCCTGAGCTCGCTGTGGAAAGGTGCTTGTTCTCGGATGTTTTTGTGGTCTGTTGGTGACTAGTCTTCTGAGGTCTCCCGACTGGCCCTCGCCCTGACGCGACATGCCTTGGACGGCAGACAAGGTGTGGGGTGGTTGTGATGGCATTGGCATGGGAGGAGAGAATTGTTAATAACCCCCAGGGCCCGAATAGGATCCTTTAACGAGTCAGTCGGGTCACATTCGGGGAGTAACACAGCGTGTTGCCTACTTAATGGTGCGCCGAGAGCGACTTTGGGGCTCAGTCGGCCGGTGGGTAGAGATCTGAGGGCATTGCACGCTGCTCGGCCAGATCTGAGGGCATTCGGACGTTAGTTACCTGATTGTGCCGCGGCTCCGCCCGGCCACTAACTCTACTTACAAACGCGCAGTATTAGGGTGGACGGGTCGCGCGGACGGCGCGCAGGGGAGAGAGAGCGCTACCAAAGAGGGAGCAGAGCCGCCGCACACGGCCAGTCGTCCCGCCGGCAGAAACCTCAGCTCAATCGGCCGCCGGGCGGTCCCGCCGCGCGGTCACCAGTCAACTGAAAATACTCGCCGTGCCCCATGTGTGATAATACTAAACCGTAAAACCGTGTGCTGTGGGCCACTGGGCCTCAAGTGCAATGCTGTGTCTTCTCGAGTGTGCGTGTGCGTGTGTTATTTACCGTGTTGTGCGCCAGTTGGTGCGGGCGTTGTTGCCGCAAAGCAAAATAAATACTCAGGCATTGACACGTGTTGTTTATTCGCCTCCGCTCGGTACACATGGTTAGGAATCAATGATAAAATCGGGACAGGAGCGGCCGCCGCCGCCGCGCAGACGGAGATTTTTACCGGGGACCGCGTCCCGGCTGAGTCCGAGTCGCGTCAGTCGCGTCATCAACAGCCAACGTGCGCGCGTGTGCTGCGCCGGCCGGCCGGGCGGGCGCCGAGTCGTGTCACCCGTTCCGTGGGGCCGGCCGGCCGGCGGGCGCCGAGTCGTGTCACCCGTCCGCGGCGCCGTGGGGCCGGCCGGCCGGTGGGCGCCGGTCTCCAGACATATAACACTACGCGGCCGCCGCCGGCGCGCCCGTGCGGCCAACTCAGTCTACCACAAACCGAGGGAGAGCGGCGGGACGGAGACACCGCCCGCGACACGACGAAAACAACACGAGCGCGCGAGTCCAGGAGGCAAAAGAATTACGAAACTTTAATTGGAATTGGCACGCGCACACACAACATATATGAAGCGGGTGGCGATCGCTCGATCTGGTCGGGCCGCCGGCTCTGCGGCGGGTGCACTGCGTGCGGGGCCGGCCGGCCACACATATATCGCTCCTCTGGGCCGGGCGCGCCGACGTCGCTCTAAGTGAAGGGGTGTGGAGAGCCGTCCGCGGCGAACTAACCCAGCGCTGAAACACGGCCCGAGCGGTTTATTCAGTCATCTGCCACATGATAACATGAACGGACGGTGGTGGGATCAACGCACAGCAGCTACAATAGAGCACGAAAGAGTGGATGGATACATGGACGCGACAATTACCATACGAGCAAATCGTGAGACAGGCAACCACGTTCTGTGACATATGTGGATTGATAGGAGCAGGATGCACAGGAAGCGCCTACTTTTGATTCTAATCAAGCAAAAGTCGGAAATGCAAGCATGAGTTCACGAAGAAAAATACAATGTTTTCACATCTACCGGGTTACAGCGGAGCACCCGACTATAAGCGGTCTAATGGCGGACACAGTGCCAGCCGAGCTGCTAGTCCGCGTTAGAAGGCCTCACCGGCCAGCGCCTCGGACGCGTAGAATTTGACGTCGAAGTCGGTGTCGGTGTTCAGCTTGTCCAGCACCGGCTTCACCTGGGTCTGGGCCACGCTGCGAACAGGGACAACAGTGTCATTACCTGTTGATGTCACCGGCTTCACCTGTGTCTGGGCCACACTGCCAACAGGACGGCATGGTCATTGGTCACTGACTTCCAATGACGCCTAACTTTTGCGAACTCCCGACAGTTTCTCTGAGACACCACAGCTTCAACCTGGCTGTTGCACATGCGACATACCCCAGCGTACCCATCTCACATGCTCCCTTATCCGCTCCTCCCCAGCCCACCCCGAACGCTGCCTCTGCCGGCTTACCTGCTGTCGAGGATGGGTCCCATGCGCTGCAGGGTCTTGGCCACGTTGAAGCGCACGTTGGCCACGCGGTCTCCAGCCATGCCGAGCACGGTGGGCAGCATCAGCTTCACCGTCATCTCGGGCCCGCAGGCCTCCGACAGAACCTGCCGTACCACGAGGAGGGGAGGGGAGGGGGCGGTCGGTGTCGGACGGGGGTAGAGCGAGATAGGAGAGCATCTGAGTAGAGGTGGCAAAAGATGAAAATTTTGGGAACCAGACTCGAACCAGACCCGGCTGGACATTTCTGGAACCAGTCGGACCCGGTCTTAGTTGGAATCGGAACCATTTGGACCCGTTCTCCAAAAGTCAATTAATACAAACTACTTGTAGGTATCATTAGTTGCATCATGCAAGAGAGCCTATTTCCAATTGGGGATACTCATGAGCTTTTGTGTGCAAGATGTATAGTTTATGGTAGGACCCGGTTGGACCCATCAGAAAATTTCCAGGAACCGGTCTGGACCCATATGGGTCCAGACTGGTTCTTTGGACCGGGTCCTCGGGTCCACATTTTGCCACCTCTACATCTGAGTCAGCGGTAGCGTCTCACGTAAATTCTACGAGAGCATAAATGACGTGGCATCGCTATCAGACCAAGGTATACGGCACTGCTATCAGACTGTTAAGCCTATTATTAGGTCGACCTCCCGGCCATTTCATATCAATTCTTATCATTTGCTCCCAGCAATCTAGTAGGCCGACCTCTCAACAGCATCTCTCACTATCACGCACTTGAGAGTTCCCGATCAACAAACCACCTGACAAATGGACTAGCCCCTTCTTTGACTGCTCTGAGGACCTCAGAGCAGACCGGTCTCATTGATCCAGCCATCCAGCGCCGCTCAAAACTCAGCCCCTGCCCCCCCCCCCCCCCCACCTACTTCCCGCAAGTTCAGTCCGCCCGCTCAACCATCCCGCCCGGCGACTCACGTTGATGCAGAACAGGCAGGTCATGCGGTGCAGGTAGTTCTGGTCGCGCGCCATGGCCACCACCTTGGGAATGACGCCGTTCTGTGCCCACTCGGCGCCGAACTTCTCCACCAGCTTCTTGAGGTTCAGCGTGGCCGCCTCCCTAATGGCGAACACGTGGTCCACCAGCCACGTCATGCACAGCTGGTTCAGCTTCTCGTCGAAGAACTCGACGCCCAGCTGGCCGGCCAGCAGCGGCATGTAGTTGATGATTGCCAGCCGGACGCGCCACTTGGTGTCCTCAGCCAGCTCCACGATGGCCGGCAGCAGCGACTGGGACAGCTGCGGGCGGCGGGGCAGGGGCAGAATATACTGTCACAGTGAGAAGACAGAGACGACGATTCTCCTCGGCAGCCAAAAGGATCGCGTTACGGAACAAAGCATTTGTTTTTAAAACCATTTACCCTGCCCAGCGATGATATAAGGAAAGTGTTGAGGGAAAACGGACAACTAAGGCCCTTTCAACCCGAACAAACATGCAATACAGCACATATTGCGCAAATGAATTATAACGTCTTTGCATTTACATGGGTAAGTAGCTAACTCGTGTTTAAAACGTCCTTCGTGAACCACGCCCGTGCTATTCCGCGACACTCGCGTCCGCCAGTCCCTGGAACCCGTGGATGAGTTTACTAGTATTTAAAATGTACCTAATTCGTGAATCACGCCAGTCCTATTCCGCGACACTGGCGTCCGCCAGTCACTGGAAGCCTTGGCTGCCGCCGTACCTGCTGGATGCCGATGACCTCGTTGACACAGTCCACGTTGGAGATGATGTTGAGTCGCACCTCGGGGCACTCGTCCTTCAGCTGGGTGAGGAACAGCGGCAGCAGGTGCTCCACCGTGTTGTTTTTGCCCAGGATCGGCGACAGGCCCATGATGACGCCGGCAAGCGCCGACTTGACGTGCTGGTTGGCGTCCGACACCAGCTCCTGGGGGCGGCGCGCGGCGGCGTCAGACACAGCGCGGTCACCATAGCTCGGCGTACTACAGCAGACACGGGCGGCTATGACAGTCGCAGTAAAGAGAAACCATCGAGGACACCAAACGTATGGTAGATTAGCTTAACAACATTTTACAGAAGTACAAATATGTTAGTTAAGATATTGCCAAGAAATCCAGCACACATTGTATTCCTCAATTACGTGCCTCTCTTCCCTACCGTGTCAGACCGGAGCCCCTCCCTGACTGTGCCCTCGATCCTGGGTCAGACCGGAGCCCCTCCCTGACTGTTCCCCAGATCCTCGGTCACTCACAGTGACGCAGGGCAGGATGTTGGTGACGATCTGCGTCTCACGAGTCGCCGGCGCCAGGTTCTGACAAAAGTCCTTGACCTTCTGGGCGGCGGCGGCGCGCACCTCGGCCTCACAGTCCTTCAGCAGCGACTGGAAGGCCGGCACCAGGTCCACCGTGGTGATCTCCGGCCCGACGGCCGCCTGCAGCTCAGTGAAGTGGTCCGCCACCATGTACCTGCGGCGGCGGACCGGGCGGGGACGGTCACACACGGGGAACAGACGGGGCAGGGCAGGGTCGGCGGGAAAGACATGGGGGCCATCGTCTACCGACGAAAAGTACAGCGGTGATGTGTCTGAATCTCAAGGGCGCCAAGTAGGCATACATGGACCATGGCAGCTGCCGGGGTGAGCGACAAACACATTACATTAACCCCACTTGGCTTCCTCACACCGCGTCAGCTCGCTTATTGACAGGGTCCGTTCCGTCACTAACTACTGACCTGACGCGCCATGACTGGTCCTCGGCGCAGTGTTTGAGTGTGGGCATCACCAGGGCCTCGGTGTCTGCCTGGGGCAGCAGCGAGGCGATACTGACGCACGCCTCGACCGCCAGCAGGCGGACAGAGTCCTGGCGACAGACGGGAACGGAGATAAATGGTCAGTAGTTGCCGGAAAGAGCAAATGGACAGAACCCTGTTGAGGGAGGGTAAGGCTCAAAAGGTCAATTGGCAAAAAGACGGCGCGCTAAGCAAAAGCGACACTGCGAAGCACTGTAAGAAGCTGATGGTAGCTACCACAGACTTAAAGGCACCACCCACAAGCCTCACAAAAGTAGACAGTAAAATGTCAGTCAGCCGCAATCGACGAATCCCCAAGCTACATCCCCAGGATGGCCCAGTTAACAACAATCCATCGCCTCCCTCCTTATTGACCCTCCCTCCACGCCACACCTCTGCCCGCTCCGCCCTCACCTGCTCGTCGCCGGCCAGCTCGACGAACATGGGGATCACCTCGGACTTGAGGTGCTCCGAGCCCACCGCCTTGGCGAACTCGCCCAGTTTACTGGCGGCGGCGCGGCGCACCATCGGCGTGTCGTCCTGACACAGGTTACGGAAGTTGACACGCAACTCCGCTGTGGAGACGGAACGGCACAGTGAATAGACAGGTCCGAGGGTGATGGTGAGAGAACTTCAGCATTAGTGTGGAGGCTTACAGGCAATAAATAACATATGCCAATGGCATTATTGATGAACAATGAATGATAGAAAAGACCATCAAACGAAAATGCAGACTTTTCCGGGTTCGATGCACCAGTGGGTACCATGAACACTGGCGATCAGTCAGCGTTGTGACACGTACAAGAAACCACTGAAAAAATGGACTCAGTCACATTCGAATTTCCCACATCAAACAGAGCTGTCCCCCAGTGCCCAGCCCCCGGCCGGTTGGGCGGCGGTCGCACCTTTGAGTTTGTCGTTGCAGCGCGGGTAGCAGACGGCGAACAGCCCGCAGCTCGAGGTACGCGACGTGAACCAGTCGCCCGAGGCCAGCCGCTTCACCAGAGGCACAAAGTGCGACTCCAGGTCGGCCGTGCTGTGCTGGTGCGAGATGGTGCGCAGCGACTCGACCGCCTTGTCCCGGACCACCGTCTCCTCCACCTGCGCCAGAGACTCCAGCGCCGGCTGTGTAGGGCAGGGGAGAGGACAGTCAGTTACACTGAACACACCGTCTCCACCTGAGCCAGGGACTCCAGCGCCGGCTGTGGTGGGGAGGGGGGGGCAGTCAGTTACACTCAACACACCGTCTCCTCCACCTGCGCCAGAGACTCCAGCCCGGCCGTATAGGGCAGAGGAGAGGGGACAGTCAGTAACACTCAGCACACCGTCTCCACCTGGGCCAGGGACTCCAGTACTGGCTGTGGTAAAGGGATGACTAGTCAGTTACACTCAGCACACCGTCTCCACCTGCGCCAGACTCCGGCGCCGGCTGAGTAGGGGAGGGACAGTCAGTTGCACTCAACAGTCAAGACACCATCCCTCCACCTGGGCCATATGGACTGGGTCCTGGGCAGACAGAGTAGTGAGTAGCTACTGAAATTCTCACCAAGACTTGGAGAAGCCCCTCCAGGACCGAGCACCTACTCACCAGGAGGCAGTAGACGAACTCGGGGCCGCCGACCAGCTTCGTGAAGTTGCCGAGCTGCTCGGCCAGCGCCAGCAGTACCTCATCCTCGTCGTAGATGGTCTCCGTCAGGAAGGGGATCAGCTCGTTCCGGGTGCGCTCCACGCCCAGCGCCAGTGCGATCGTCGACAGCTTCTTCACAGAGTTCAGCCGCAGCTGCGGACGGACACGGAGGCGCGTCAGTGGCGGGATAACTGTGTGTGAGGCTGATAGGACAGGCTGAGACTTTTTCTGAGAGAAAATAATAATGGCTGTCCTACTCATTTTTACAGTTAGCTTTCTTGAGTGCAAGAGCATCTTGAAGAACCAAGACCATCACAAATTGCTTTTAAATGTCCTACTCCCAATCTGATCTATTTGTCAGTGGCATAACCTGAGGGGAAGGGGTTAGATGAGTAATACCACCAATATGTTGTCCTCCAGGAGTTGGAGCAGATAATGGACCCAGCATAAGAGTATCAGCAATCAATGCTGGCAAATAGTGTTTAGAAATAGTAAGACTAGGCATTCGAGTACCAGTGACCTATCCACAATAACAGCTACACTATTTGGTAGTTGGTGAATTCAAAATTTGAAATGTTGAGCACTTTTTGAACAAAACCACCTATAGGATAGCACCATGACAGCACATAAAAGACAGGCTCCACAAGCTTGTGAATGCTGTTTAAGAAAACATGAATCAAATAAAATAATATGAAGGACTTGGTCAAGGTATGCATAATGCTACAAAAATGCCTGACAGGGTGAAGTTAACTGAGCCAGAACAAGGGCTTGCCAGAAGGGCAAGCTGTCATTTTGACATGGGAATGACTGCAAGGTGTGTCTTTCATTTCAGTGCCTGTAGCTAATTCATGCTAACTAATGATGTCCCTAATGCAGACACACCCTGAACAGAAACATATTATTTTCAATCTAGCTGCACAAAACCAGGCTGTGTCATCAAAATAAAATGAAGCTGCAATTTTATGTACAAATTAGCATAACCATTAATTCTGCCATTAAAGGACTGTGATAAAAAATAACATTCATATGAAAAACATTGAGAAAAATCATTTGGGATATGAAATATATAAAAAGCAATTCAGCTTGAAAAATTACCATGATAAATCAGCATCATGAAACTATTAGTAGTTTCAGATCAGCAGTATTCAATACCTACCTACAGCCTTTCCTAGGTGTCTCCTAAAGTAGTGTGAACCTTAACGAACATAAGTTTCAATGAAAAGAAATAATATTTCCAAAACTTCAAATGATCCATTGATATACTTCAAATTCATATTGATACAATTTGATGTAGCAAATGCCTGCCACAAGACCACACCTCGACCTACTACACCAATAGTCACGTTTACATAGCATTTTTGACAATGCTCTAGCTCACTTATTACCTATGTGATAATTTTGATTCGATGCAGTGATTTTTGCATATTTAGAGGGAATTATTTTGTTAATTGTAAAGCACCATTGGCATCTTTTGCAACATAACAGGCAGAGCTATAAGCTTGCAACAATCCCAGTGTAAACGAGGCTAATAACAGTCAGTCACTGTTGAGCATTTCTTCCTCAAAATTAGCGCTCACCCGCTCAGCATACGCAACATACCATTCATCAGCCGTAAAGTTATTCTTTAAGTATAGTTACATTAACAAAAAATAAGTTATTTTTTGTTAACATTATTATCTGACTGTTACATTTCAACATCAAACTATTGTCATTCAAATTCAATAGTGCAAAAGTCACTATTAAGTAGGCGGAAGTAAGCTCACCTGCACATCTTCATTGCGTAGCTCATCAATGAGCACTGCAATAGGATAAAGGGATTCGTCTCCGGTTGATTCTGCAGTAGACATTTTAGCAATCGTTGCGGCCTGATAATTAAATTATTAAACCTTCAAAAACTATCGAATCACGCCCTAATTCAGAAAGACCACCCGTCAGATCCGAACTTCTACAAACGTTGCGCGATGCGCAGGGATTGATTCATTTGATTCTTTCAAGGAATAGCTTATTCATGCTTCTTGCTATTTCTATGAAGTTGTTGTACATGACGTCAGTAAGATTATTCTGATAGAATTTATTTGGTATTTATTCCATTAATGCGACTTTTTTGTCAGTTTTGATAGAAAATAGCAATGGTTTTTCAATTTCATTAAGTTTTCTTCATTTTTAAAATTAAAATGATAAAAGATTCTTACAATGACGTCATAGTGAGAGATTGAACAAAAAATATCAAATCGTTTTCATTTCCTTCATTTCTATGATCAAAACAAATTTGTTGTTCATGACGTCATGTTGATAACAGAGGCAGATATGACGTCAATCAATGGGACGGCCGCTCGAGTTATAATTATACGGCATTGATGAAGCGGATGACAAAGCCCTAAAATCAGTTAATGCCATATGCTCTTAGTAGACAATCGTCAAGCCTAATCGATCCATGTTATTACCTTCATCTAATGTGAAAAGTTTATCGAAAAAGTGCCTGGTTATCGTGTCCTTCTAAAACACTAAGACGAATGACGATGAGTCCCAATGCGTCGCTCATACTGCCCCACAGGTGGCTAAATGACCATCACAGGGACAACTGCAGCATTGAGATCCGTGGGATCCTCCAACTACAACTATCCCTGTCGGCAGTCGTCGTCACATACACCTCGTTTCACCGTTATTTATTTATTTCCAGGTCCTTGAAGCGTTCTCAGACACACCAGAGTCGGGCTCATGCCGCAGACACACCCACTCACACGCTGCACTACCGAAAGGTGGAGGTCCGCGCGCGGGCTCTAGGCGTAGGTACAGCGGGCGGAGGTGCGCGGCGCGGCGCCGGGGCGGGGAGGGCGGCCGTCTGACTAGCGGCGAGCTCAGCGCGCGCGGCGCCAGCACGCCGCGCGACCAGCCCCGTTCCTGGCCTCCTCAGCGGTTCCGCGCGGGAACCGGGGGCAGGAGCGCGCCGGCGCACAAGCTATCCAGTCAAACACTACTTAATATATTGCATGCCTGACACCTCGAGCACACAGGACCGAACACTAGAGACGATATAATTTCCCATGTAAAATACTAGATTCTCGCTCGCTCGCTCTCTCACTCTCACTGACGGGCGCGCACACCCTCCCACTCTGCGTGCCCCGAATGCCGTAGTTGCAGAAGCAGCTGCCGCGACGCGGACATTCACCAAGCCGGGCTGGGCGCCGCGCCCACACACACACGGCCAGCGGCCGGCAGCGCCGCCTGACGCCAATATGTATATGTAAAACGTGTGCATACTCGCGGCGCGGCGGCCGCCGCCGGGCGGCTCGGGCCGCCCCAGTCGGCCGGGCGGCGCCAGCTACCGTATTAGATGCCTAGGAATCGATCAGACAGCTGCGACGGCGCCCCGCTAGTCTCAGAACGAACGAGAAATCAACGGCGCGACGGCGGCGGCGGCGGGTGACGCGGCACGCCGCCCCCCGTGGTGGCAGTGCTCGGAACCGACGCACACACGCGCGCGCGCACACACGGGCACAACGAGAGAGACGCGCGGCGCGCGGCCGCGACACGCGGCGCAGAAGCGGAGTCGGCCGGCCGGTCGGCCGGCGCGCGGCTTGGCGGCGTCTACTTCTTCTTCAGCGTGAAGAAGGAGCGCTTCTTGGGCTCCGGGTCGTGTGAGGAGGCGGGCAGCGTCTTGGACGACTTGGCGGGCGCGGCGGCGGCTCCGCCGAGCGCGGCGCAGACCTCCTCGATGGCGGCCACCCACTGGTTCATCTCGGTGTCATCCCGCGCCTGGTACAGGTACTCGCCGCCGGTGGGCAGCCTGGCGGCACACACACAAAGACAGACACGACGGGTCAGCAGCGATCACTTACACAGTTGGTATATCGTTACCGCGTGAGAATAGAGCCAGCATGACGCACAAGATAAAAATGTGGGACGCGGTCAACAACTCAATGAGAAAATCAGCTCACAACCACGGGCACAAAAACAGCATTAGGCATTCACATATTCAGCATCAGGCCTAGTAATAATTAGGACATTTAACACGTCCCACGCACACCTCTGACTGAACGACCACGTGTTGACACTCACTTGAGTCTGAAGACGTGTTTCTTTTTGCTGTAGTCGGTGGCGACGACCGCCTTGGCATCGCGCAGCTCCAGCGGCGCCTCGCCGTGCGCCATGGCGTCTGGCGACTGTTTGGCGACGCGCTGGTCCTTGTAGGCCAGCAGCTGGCCCTCCTGCAGCACCATGAACAGCTTCTCCCACGACCTGACGACGACCGACGCCGCAGATGTCAGGGCTTTGTGTGAGATGCAAGACTTACTGGGTAGTTGGAGAGATGTGAAACACGGGGGTCGATGCAAGGCAAGGGCTCTTTACTGAACAGTTATAGGCTTGAAATGTAAGACACAGGCTTTGACTTTATTGCTTTCTTCGTTGACTTGATTATTGGCGTTTTTTTTTTAACAAGCTGAACTTCGTTGACTTGATTATTGGCGTTTTTTTTAACAAGCTGAACATTACAGACTGTAACGAGTCTCGTTAAACAAACATTAAAGTATAATCATTATTCGAGCCTCACGAGCACGACTTCATGACATTTCTGAAAGGCACGACGTGAATTCGTTCCACTATCAGGAGCGTCATGGTCACCTGTTGGAGGCCTTCTTGACGGTGGTCTCCCACTCGTGCTTCCGGTGCAGGAACCCTTCCATGAGCGATCCCTCTCCACCGGGGCTGGGACGCTCTGCCGGGTCGGGTCAGCACGTCAGTGGATCTAACTAATACATTAGGCTGAGCACGGGGTCACAGTAATCAGCAACTGGACCTTTTTGCAAGATTCGGGACACTGATCACAGTACATTCAGGGAAAAATGAGATGTCATTAGTTGCAGTGACTCAAATATGATCAGATAGTTACGGAGCGAGCGAAGCGAGCGGAGTCTTACGTAGAATAACGGAAATTTCTGAGTATGAGCGGCCGGCCGGCCGGCCGGCCGTGCGGACGCTTTTGCGAGGCTTATATCTCAGCAACCACTTGACCGATTTACATGCGGTAATTTTTGTAGGGTAGCTTCATTCCTTCTACCAAGTATTGGACTATTCTCGATGCATGTGGGTGACCCCTTATGCACGTGCCACGTGCAAAACGAAGAGGTGTCAGTTTTGCAATTGTTGCAATATTTCGGTAACTACTTGGCCGATTGCGCTGAAAGTTGGCATGTATGTAGGTAGGCACCCACTAGGCACTGCATATCCATGTGCCAGAGTTGGGGTGCTGCTGCACGTGCGCACGTGCAGGGGTCGTTTCCAGATCTCGAGATCGGCTGGACCGATGGCGCTCAAATTTGGTACACAGTTAGGGACCAGATAGTAGGGTGCCGTGCACAAGTCAGTTGGGACCCATTTTGCACGTGCGCACGTGCAGGGTGCCGCTTTCAGATCTCGAGAACGGCTGGGCCGATTGTGCTCAAATTTGGCACATCGCTAGAGACCGGTTAGTAAGGTGCCGGGCACAAGTCAGTTGGAGGTACCCCCTCGAAATTTCGCACGTGCAAGGCCCACCCTCTCGCTCGCTCCGTTACTCGCCCCAAAAGGCGTTATACTGGTTGTATAATCTTAGCTACGAGCAACGCCCTAAAGCATCAATATCCCACAGCTTGATGGCCAAATATGTATATCGAACACTTATTCTATTTCCTAGTCCCTAGGCACATCCGAATAAAGGCTGGGACAGCGGATCGACCCCGCAGCAGCGTACTCCGCAGCGGACTCTCCACAGCAGCGTGGTCAGTCAGTCCTAGTCAGACGGACGGACGGACGGCACATGTCGCAGGCCGAGGCGGAGCGGGGGGCGGGGCGGGACGGTGCGCGGTGCCCGTGGGACAGGCAGGCGGCAGGCGGGGCGGGACAGGCGGGGGCAGGCGGTACTCACCGGCGGCGGCAGCTATGTTACCCTCGTCATCGCTGACGCTGCCCACTTCGGGCGGCGGCTTCGACTTCTTGAAGCGGAAGCTGCGGAACGGCGACTTGGAGCGCGAGCGAGACTTCTTTTTCTCGGAGGCGGACGAGCCGGCTGCGGGAGCGACACTGATAGCTGAACGGACCGAGCCGCGCACAGCGGGCGACCAGCGCGACGGCGAGCCCGCACGACACACAAGCCCCGCCGGGCCAAGCGCACGGCGCCGCAGCGACGGGGGCGACTGAGCCAGTCGGCACAAAGCCCACGGACGTATGTGTGCTCCGGAGGCCAGGACAATAATAAGCGACACATGTGGCCTTTAAATGTAACCACGCAAGATGTCTGAATAGCCATACGAGATGTCTGACACAGTGATGAAAATACGTGCCTGAAGTTGACATTCTAAAGGCCATCATTCATACGGTTTCCACGATTTCCACCATTTCGAACTACACCACCACCAAGCCAGATGAAGGACAACCATTAGATAATGCAGTCATATAGACCCAACAAGCCACCGATTTAGTAGAAACGCCCAAACTATGTCCATTTTACAGTGCCGGGCGACTTGAATGCACCTTTAGGCAGATATTATTCACGAAGCCTAGATTTCAGGCAGACGAGACCCAGGCATTGTACGAGCATATTCCATTGGATAAGTGCTGGTTTGACCAAGCCAAGCTTTCGCCCATTCCACCTGCCACCCAAGCCAGCATCCTTCCACCATCGTAGACCAGCCCGAAGAAGCTGAGGCTCGTTCGAAGCATCATTCCCATCACCAAAGCTCAGGACAGCACATTTCCCTTAGTCACACATCATATAGGGAAGCAGATACCCACAGCGGAGCGCGAGACCTTCCCAGCCGATATGCACACTACACAATTTGTCCAGCAGTTCGGCGTCGCACCCAGTACTAGCCCAGCAGCTGAGACACGAAGCCAGCGAAAGACCTTTCTCCAAGGACGGAACCAGCCCGCGACAAGCATCAGCCCAACATTCACACGGCCAAATGGTCATCCATCACCGAAACCAGAGCCAGACCGCAAATGACTCTAAAGGAGTGTCCAGCACCAGGTCCCATATCGAGCACGCCACCAGCACCGACCGAGCAGCCATGTAATCCGTGAGTCAGCCTCTCAGCAAGGCCAGGGAGCGGTCACTATTTCCAGCATGAAAGAAAGCGCCTTCCTGAAGGTGACCCAACACCACTTGCTACCGCACCAAGCGAGACAGAAAAAAGGAAGAACAGAAAAGAGATAAAAACTATAATATCTTTTAATGAAGAACATAAGGGACAAACAAAAGCGAGGTATGCGTAAACAAAAGCGAGATAAAGCGGAAATCATACATTGAAGCAAAACAAAAAATCGCGAAAATGGCCAACGGGCAACGATAATACAAATATGATGACAATAGGGGAATAAACAAAACGGAGAAAGCAGTCATGATGTCGGTTAGGATACAGGGAGCCAGACAGAGATAGCGCGCCCTCTACCAAAGAGACGGTCGCAGAGACGCCAGCGCGGCACCGCCAAAGTCGGAACCCTCTGGCAGAGTATCAGACAGCAGAGGCAGCAGCGAGCCTTCCAGCGGCGCCCCAACATAGGACTCTCCCGAGAGCCGCCGAGACGCCGACAGACTGTACATTGTACAAACCACCCCAGAGAGGCGGCCGAGAGAGGAGACTCTACACCATACTCACTGCGAGAGACGGAGGCGGAGGCCTTGGGAGCCGCGGCGGCCGCGGTGGCGGGGGCGGCAGCCGCCGGGGAGGCGCGCGGGGCCGGCGCCGGCGCGGCGGCGCGGCCGCGAACATGCCCGGCTACAACACAGCGCATGCTCTCTCAGAGGGGGCTCGGAGGCAGTGGGTGCCAGCCGGACAGCCGGGGCAAGGCAGGCAGAGATGGGGACAGACCATGCTCCTCCGAGATAGAGACCCGGTTACATGCCGTGCTTAGGCGCTCAACTGATACTGGTCTGGGTTGGTAATGACCATATTTGTCGTGAGATTATAGTACTTCAAAAAGTAACATTTAAAGTGAGAAGTGATGTTCCGCGGGACTAAATGACCCAACATGGTATTTCGTTAAAAAATGAACTTACGAAGGTCTCTCCCCATCTAAATTAAAAACGGTAGCTTGGCATAACGACATCAAAATGCATCAGTTAAACAAAAATATTCCAGCAAAATAAAAAAATGGGCGAGTACAGATGCCGACAGGACAGTACTACCAAGAGTCACCATGCACTGGGGTTCAGGCGGGCAGCCGCCACATCACAGTACGATTAGGGGCGGCGGGGGCGGACTGCCAGTGGGGCACGGGCGGGCATACACGGTGCGGGCGGCGGGCGGTGAGAGCATTCGGTGCGCGATGCGGGCCGGGAGGGGGACGGGCGAGAGGGGCGAGAGGCGGCTAGGGTGAGGCGGGATGGGTACAGAGCTGCTCAGGGTGATCCGACCTTCAGCGACCACTGACCGGTGCAAATAAATACGGCACTGAAGGCCAGAAGACAGACCCGTTACGTTTATAAAAAGCGACAAATAATTTTGAATTAACGCTGTATGGTCAGAGCCAAAAAGGTCTCAATACTGGCTTTTCCAACCTCATATCAGACGCATATCAAGTTACCATCACATTTGCACAATTTACATGAAATGAATGAGCATTCGATGACCATCGGCGTCTTTTAATATAATTTCACCGCCGATGAGGTTACCTGCCAGATATAATAACTTGCCTCGCTATTGCCCTCGATTACAATTCGATGAAAGCCAAAGCTCAGAAAGCTGTGTGGTCGTTATTGACCAAATGACGTCTACTTTGGATTTTCGGGGTTCTAAGGACTGTCCCAGTGATTACTGAATGGCCTGTCAAGGCTCCACCATGATCGGAGACGGAGTTGCAGAAACGTCTAAAGAGGGTCTCTCAGAGAGTCTGTTGAGGGTCTACTGGGAGATGTATAAAGACTCTACCGGAAGGTCTGTTGAGGGTTTACCGGTAGGTGAGATTCTACCGGGAATATCTCAAACCCCTACAGGCTACCTGTGTAGGGACCCTACCAGAAGGTCTGTCGAGGGTCTACGGACAGCTCTGCTGAGTGGTTCGCGGAGGGGACGCTAGGAGGGCGGCGGTCGGGGCTGGGCCAGGCCCGGGCGGGGCGGCAGTACCTTGGATGGGCGGCACCTCGGGCCGGAAGCGGCCAGGGCGGCTCATCGCGGAGGCTGCCGGACGGCCGCGCAGACAGGCAGACACACGGGAGACACACGGTTAGTGGCACAGATCGGCGGTTAGTGAGGGAGGGAGGGAGTCGGCGGACAGAGGGCCAGAGTCGCGCGCGGTCAGAGACGGGGAAACACCAATCAGACATCAACGGAGAAATTAGCGGGCCGATGAGTTCAGCTGGGATAGGCATACCAGTTATGAGGCGACAAGGGAGATGGGAGTCACAATTGGAAAAAGAATCACAGTGAACATGGAAAATGAGTACAATACGAGAGTCCAGGGACAGACACAAAGAAGGAAAGGACATATGAGAACCTAGCAAGGAAACAGTGAGAATACAACCGGACCGCAAAGGAATCAGAAAAAGGACAGACGCAGCCAAACTGGCGGAGAAGACAATGAGAGGTATGGAGATACGAAAGAGGGACACAATGAAAGTAGGGGGAATATAACAGTTTGATGCTGGAGGAACAGAAGGGGGCACAGTCCGGGGTCACAGTTACTGGAGGGACACAATGAGGCTCACACCGGGGCCGGGGAGGGGGACACAGTGCCGCGGAGGCGGGGCGGGGCGGGGTGGGGGCAGCCGGCGCTGGTAAGCGGGCGCAGCCAGGCTGGTGGCGGTGCGGCGCGGCGGGAGGGGCGGCGCTGGGACAGCGCGGAGGACTCACCTTCCTGCTGCTGAGCGCGGCTCGCCCGCTCGGGACGCTCCTCGGGGGAGCGCGCGGCGGCGGCCGGCGCGGCGGCGGACGCCCCGGCGCCGCCCGGGCCCGGCGGCGCGTCCGTCGCGTCCGACGGCGTCTCGTCCGGACTGGAAGCGGAGCGGCGCGCCGCCTCTGCGCGGGCGGCCTCCTCTGCCGCGCGGCGGGCCGCCTCCTCCTCCTGACGCCGGTGCAGCTCCTTCAGCTCGAACTGCAGCGGGAGCGGGCAGAGGACACGGTCAGCGATACAGTAGCCGGTTAACGGCGGCTCATTGAACTTCGCTCATTTACAGCCAGACGCATCATAATAATCAAAATGGGAATTTGTGAGCTCTGAGAGGTGAGAGGCGTCTGTACTGACCGTGGTGAGCCGCTCCAGAGCCGCGAACCTCTCCTCCTGGGCAGACGCAGACTTCTCGAACGCCTCGTGCTTCTTGATCAGGCTCTCCACCTCGTCGATCGAGTTCTGTAACACCGGTCACGGGTGATCGTGTAGGAGCGGTTCACGGCAATATCACAATAGCAAGAGCATAGAGCTATGATCACTGATCATGGCATCGTCCGTTACAAGGATGTTGCGAACTACATGGTCATGCTCTCCGAATCCTAACCGGCAAATACTAGTGAGACACACGCTGGATCCAACAGAACAGCCCGGCGCGTCCTCTGAACACACAATCCCGTTCACCCACAGACGTGTCACTGCCTCCACCCCGCTCCCGGTGTGACCCCCAGCCCGTCTCCCCGCAGTACTTACGCCTAACTCCTTGCTCTGGATGTAGCTCTCCTGCGCAATGAGCCACTGCTCGGCGACGGCGGCGTCGCGGGCGAACTGGTACACCTCCAGGATGAGCTGCAGGTACTCCCAGCGCTCCTCCCACTTCTGATGCATGTCGCCGCGCTGAGTGCTCAGCTGCACCAGCTTCTCCTTGATCTGAGGAACAGCGGCCGGGAGGGGCGAGTCAGACAGCTGGCCGGATTGATTGTCCTGATACATGTGGTGAGTACTTGATGTTATTTACGCCCCGTTATTTATGAAATTGGAGTGGTATGCGTTGTCATACATTACGTGACGAGATCTTCCAGTTGAGAGAAGCACGCGGGCTGTTGGACTGCCGACAAACACTTGCTAAAAACAGACATCGTGTTCTAATCATCAACGTCAACGTCAGTATCAACATCAACACCAACATCATCAGCATCAACAGCAGACAGCGTCTGCTGTTTGTCGCTACACACTGACTGCCTACCTCCTGCGATGCGTAGTGGTTGCGCGATAGCAGCTCCTTGCCGAGCGAGATGCAGGCGGAGAAGTTGTCCTCGCGCGTGTCAATCTCGGCCTTCAGACTCTGGTGGTTGTTCATCAGCAGCTCCACGCCGCTCACATCCCTGTGTGGAGTAGATCACGCCGTGTCGGTCAGTCAGTCCCTCAGTTAGCGAACGGCGGGGAAAGAACATAAGCAGACGGACCTAAAGCAGCATACAGTGGCTAAGCATCGCGACAGCTCAACAACCTAAGCTCATGAGCTGAGACATAACTGCCATCGTGGATGTAGGACTTCAGCCAAACTACCAAGCAGTCAAAGAAGTCTCTTCATCTCTTTCAGCGGGCAGTGTGGATTCCTTTCCGACCAACCGAGCGGCGGCGCTGTCACGCACCTGGGCTTCTCCGTGGTGTTCATCTGACGGTTGACGTCGTCCATCCAGAGCATCAGGATGCGGCACATGTTGAAGAACTTGAAGAGGTCTCCGGTGTCGGCCAGCTTGGCTTTGCGCGCGTCGCAGAGCGCCTGCAGGTTGAGCCAGGCGTTGACCACCTCGGCCTCACGGTTGGTGATTTCCTTGGCCTTGTCGCCGGCGTAGGCCGCCTGCAGCTTCAGACTGTCCTCCTGGATCTGACGCACCTGCAGGAAGGAAAGCACATCGTCAGCCCATCAGACTAAGGTGACAGATATCGAGCTCCTAAATCTGACGTGTGTGTACTAGGAACAACGTGTCCGGTCAGACTAGTCAGCAAAGCGACTAGAGTGTCCCCGGAGTCTAAAGACCACATCGGCAGACTTTGGGACCGCAAGACTAAGTCTGCAGACGTGCCTCCATCCACAAAATGATAGTAACAATGTCGGTGCCACCGCCTGTACTCCAGGTTACTGAGTCCCACCAGCCACCACCCACAAACCCCGTCCATGACCGAGTCCCATGACACTCAGCGCTCCGGTCCGCACCTGCTGCTGAAGGTTCTGCAGGTCGGAGAGGAAGTTCTGGTGCTTGCGCTGCAGCGTCGACACGGAGACGGCGTCCCGGCCCAGCTCGTCCGACATGGCCGTCTGCTTCTCCATGATGCGGTTCAGCGTGTCCTTGCAGTCGTGGAAGAACTTGTGCAGCTCCCAGGAGGCGGCCAGCATCTGGAAATTATAATTACGGTCAGATAGATCTTCAGAGCACTTGGAAACTTCAACAATAAACATAGTAAATGGCATAAGACACCAACCGTGAAAATATCAAGGAACCAAACGCATCTATTAGTCCTTTACATTTGAAGATATTATGGCCAGTGACACAAAGATTGAGCCCATAAAAAACAAGCGATTCAATAAGCAGCTATCTTTAACGGTCACAATCACACAGATCATCTTCGCGCCACCGGGCGGCGGCCGGGTCCCGTCACCCACCTGAGTGCGCGTCTCGATGAGCTCGAGCAGGTCGGCCCACGAGTCGTTGAGGCCGTCCTTCCACTCGGCGATGGTGGCGGCGTCCGAGTGGCCGGCGCCGATCAGACCGTCTGCGATCTCGTTCACGGCCGACACGCGGTCCGTGCCCACCGTCTCCGTCTCGTGGGCGAACGTCTTGAACCGCTCCTGCAGCATCTGTGAGCGGGGAACGGGTGGCAGAGTAATAGGACTGAAATTTTGAGAACATACATAGGGGTGGTGACATCAACTCCTTAGTGCCTGACTGTTCAAGGGAACTTTCTGGGGAAAGTAAGTTGTAGCTCCACTTGATGTTTCTAAGGAAATAAAAGTAAAATTAGCATGTCACTGACGATGATCCGTGCTCAATTGCCCAGTCAGCATGACGTTCCTCTGCGACAAGGTAACCTCAAAAGCAAAACCACAAACAGCAGACCCTAACAACCGTATCAAATCCTTGCATCAGATACAAGGGTGGGATCAAACCCCTCCAAACCCGCAGCCTCCCACCTTCCCCCTCCGCCACTCACACAGACATGGTCGTAGTCCTGACCGAGCTCGTGCGACCCGGCCACCACCTCGCGCTCGGCGATCCACTGTTCTAGGTCGTCCACCTCCCTGTTGAGCTGGAACAGCTGGAGCGCCTCGTCGAGCCGGCCGCGCCGCTCCGACGCCAGGTCCTTGAGGCCGGCGTACAGCTTGTCCACCTGGGCCTGGCGCACGGCAATCTGCTGGCTGTGGACGGACAGAGGGGGTTACCGGGTGACTGTGACGAAGTACAGGGTGGATTTGGTGGTGGGGTGCCGGTGCGTCGCAACGAACGCTTTTTGGTCCACATAAAATAAAGACAGACACAAACTGATAAGGATATTAGGTGTTGTAAAAGGCAGGCAGCAGGTGAAGTAAGCCCATTCAAACCCACGACTGACTACTGTACACTGTACAGTGTGTGTCACAAACTGCTCAAGTCATTATCCTACGTCTCATCTAACCCAGCCGGTCAGTCAGGCCACCACTCCCTAACCATAGCCCCTCTCAGAGTAGAGTAACACCTCTCTCCGACCCCTCCCGCTCTCCCCGCCTCTCCACTCTCTCTCCGCCCCTCCGCTCCCCCCCCCCCCGCCCCTCCCTTTGCTCTCCCCCCGCTGTCGCTCACCTGTCTGGGTGGTCCTCTGCGATCAGCTGTTTGGCCGTCTCGCCCAGCTGGCGCACCGTCTCGGCGTAGTCCTCCACGGCGTTCTCCAGCGACTCGTGTTTCTTCATCAGGTTCTGTGCGGAGAACTCGTCCTTGCCCCGGTCGTCCACCATCATGTACAGCTCCTGGGCGCGGCGACGGACGGGCGACGTCAGATCGTAACTGTTTTGGGGAATAGCTGTGTTCTCCCGAGTCTTTAGAGTACACGAAAGACTAGACAGGGTGGGAGAAATCTAGCGAAGGGAAAACTCATTGAAAGATAAAAAGAAAGACATAGCCTAAAAGCATTTCCAGTTGATATGCTGATTTCTTAATGGCTAATTTCAAATAAAACTTCTGAGATTCGGCATCTAACAACATTCTCGTTCGTTCATTAGGGTTTACGGGCGCGTCGACTGCGGTGGTCATTTTGCGCCCATCAACAACATTCTCAATCATTATAACTTTCCCCACGCTCGGTAGCCCTCTCAGCACGCCATTACGAGCTATTCCATCGTGTCCCACCTGTTCGGACATCCAGGCCTCTGCCTCGTTGGCGTCGAACAGGTACTGCTGGGCGCGCTCGGAGATGGCCAGCTTGTTTTTGCGCGCCTCCATGGCGTCCTGCAGTTGGCGCCACTGGTCCTTGAGCTGCTCCATCAGCTGGGCAAACTCGTCGCCGTCCTCGTGGCCGTCGGCAATCAGCAGCTCTCCGTCCTTGCACACCTGGATGGCGGGAGAAGGCGGTCAGATTCCGGGAAAAGCGGGCGTAAGGAATGAGGGTCATGCTGGGAAGGTAGAAGGGTGGAACGAAAGACAAGCTTCACCGCAGTATTGGTCGAATGGTAGAATCTTACATAGATTCGCTATATCATAATTTGTTGATACTGTGATAGCTGTGATGAAGACGTGATAAAAGCACAGCGACGAAAGCGTTTACATATAGCCGTATGTCGATGGCGTCAGTCGTATACCGCCTTACGCCACCAGGGCCGGGGAGTGACTCACGGCGTTGATGCGCGGCTCGTGGTTGGAGATCTCGTTCTGCAGGCTCTGGTTGCGCCGCGTCAGCATGTGCACGCTGACCAGCGAGTCGCCAAACTCTGGCGAGTTGGCCTGGGGCAGTTTCTCGGCGATCCACAGCTTCTCGTCTTCAATGTCGCGCCGGAACTGCAGCGCGTTCTTCTTCTTGGTCAGCTTCTGCTGGCGGTCCAGCAGCGGCGTCTTCAGGCTCTCGAAGCGCTTCTGGACGCGCTCCTTCTTCTCCTTGACCTCGTCGGCCTTCTCGGGAGCCATCCGCTCCAGGTGCTCCGCCTGGCTGTGCAGCTCCGTCACCTGAGTAGGGGGGGGGGGGACGGTCAGTGGACGTGCGGAGAGGGTTTAGCCTGGCACTGAGATGGACTTTGCTGTGTGATAACATGAGCCGTTCAATTAGGGACACTAGAATTATTAGTGGCCATTAGTGGCCATTAGAAACCGATTTGCAGAAACAGACTGCATTAAAACCTAGCCTTTAAAATCAACTAACACACTAAGGCCAGTTAAGGCGCGTCGAGGTTCACCGAACGGTTGCACTGACTACCAGCTAGGCAGTCACGTAAATTAGGCTATGCTCAATCAGCCACCCCTTTCGCCTAACAGCCGAGTCCCCGCCTCCACCGTACACCACGCACCTGTTTGGCCTTGACGGCCATCTGCGTCTCGATCATCTGCTGTTTCTGCATCAGGATGTTGAGGCTGGCCAGGTCGCTGGTGTCGTCGCCGTGCATGATCTGCGTCTCGAGCTCGTCCACCCAGCCGTCGATGTCGTCACACGACTGTTCGTAGAGCACAGCGCGGTTGGCGTCGAACAGCCGCTCGCCCTTCTGCTTGGTCACCGTCTCCAGCTGGTCAAAGTGGTCCTCCAGCTCGGAGATTTTGGGCCGCACCAGCTCCTGCATTTCGGGCTTCTCCTTGATGAGCTCCTCGCCAGACTCCTGGATACGGTACAGTCTGGATGGAGGGGGGGGGGGGGCGGGAGTGAGTCAGTTGGAGACGGAATATCGAGAGGATGAATTCAGTGCAATATATGCATGAAATTTATGTTCATCTTTTCCGCTATGACATGAGCTCAGTAACGTTTGAATACAGTCAAACAGTGCCCTAGCCTTCCCTACATCAATATGCACTATGCAGCTCACAACCACCCAGCATTCATATCACTGGCACCACGCCACGCTGAGTGTTCAATCTTCCCGTTGCTCCAACCGGCTTATTACGTCCGCCCCATCCCCACCGCTCACCTATCCTTGTTGCTGGCGATCTCTGCCTCGAACGCCTGGTGGCGCGTCCACTTGCTGTGCACGGTTTTGGCGGATCGGTAGCTGTCGTCCTGTGCGCTGATGGATTTCTCCTGGATCCATTCGCCGAGCTCCTCGCAGTCCTGCAGGAACTGGTGCAGCTGCAGCTGGTCGCGCAGCCGCTCCATCTCCAGCATAGCCCGCTCCCTGCGCGGAGGATGGGGTATGGTCAGACACTACAGTCGCGCAGCCGCTCCATCTCCAGCATAGCCCGCTCCCTGCGCGGGACGGGAGGGATAGGTCAGACACTACAGTCGCGCAGCCGCTCCATCTCCAGCATAGCCCGCTCCCTGCGCGGGACGGGAGGGATAGGTCAGATACTACAGTCGCGCAGCCGCTCCATCTCCAACATAGCCCGCTCCCTGCATGGAGGGAGGGATGGGTCAGATACTACAGTCGCGCAGCCGCTCCATCTCCAACATAGCCCGCTCCCTGCATGGAGGGAGGGATTAGGTCAGATACTACAGTCACGCAGCCACTCCATCTCCAACATAGCCCGCTCCCCAGGGGCGGATCCAGGAAAACTCCAAGGGGAGGGTCATGAATCGAAGTGGTGCCCCTACCTATACCCAAAATTAAAAACTCAACGGATTTCGTCCACTTCATTTTGGTGGTGCCCCTATTTTCAGTTTTTTTCTTTTTATTTTTTATTTTTAGTCAGTATCTTAACTCTTAGCCACAACCACATTTACCAATTGTAAGCAAGTATATATGAATGTGCTATGTGTATATATGTTGTGGACGCTGAGTAGTGAGTACTTACCAGGAACGTTATCAGGTAAGCAAATCGTTGTCAGTCCGACGAACTTGACCCTGGCGTCTAAAGGGTCTGTCCTTGATACTTCAGGCTTGTCAGGGGCACCAAAGTCCTTCCAGGGACACCACAAACCTGTCAGGGGCACCTACGGCCTTGTAGGGGCGCCACAGGCCCGCCAGGGGCACCACAGGCCTGCCAGGAAGCAGGGGCACCACAGGTCTAGCAAGTATACACGACAGGCCTGTCAGGGGCACAACGGGCCTGTTGGGCCCATGAGCACCCCTAGGGGCAGGGGCACCACAGTCCTTCCAGGGGCACCGCAGGCCTGTGAGGGGCACCAGCGGCCTAGCAGGGGCACCAGTCAACACAGGCCTGCCAGGGGCACCACAGACCTGCCAGGGGCACCAGAGGCCTGCCAGGAGCACCACCGACCTCGCAGGGGTAACTTGGGCCTGTCAGGGCCCAGGGGCACCACGGGCCTGTCGAGAGGCACTTCAGGTTTTTCAGGGGCACCATAGTCCTCTCCGGGCGCAGGGGTAGCAGGGGCACCAGAGGCCTGCCAGGGGCACTACAGGCCTAGCAAGGGCACCACTGGTCTATCAGGGGCACCACGAGCCTGTCATAGCCAGGCATCTCAGGCTTGTCAAGGCCCAGGGGCACCACAGGTCTGTGAGGGGCACCAGCGACCTAGCAGGGGCACCAGTCAACACAGGTCTGCCAGGGGCGCCACAGACCTGCCAGGGGCACCACAGACCTGCCAGGGGCACCAGAGGTCTGCCAGGGGCACCACCGGCCTCGCAGGGGCACCTTGGGCCTGTCAGGGGCACCACGGGCCTGCCGAGGGGCACTTCAGACTTTTCAGGGGCACCAGTCCTCTCCGGGCGCAGGGGTTCCAGCGGCCTAGCAAGGGCACCAGAGGTCTGTCAGGGGCACCAGCGGCCTAGAAAGGGCACCAGAGGCCTGCCAGGGGCACCACAGGCCTAACAAGGGCACCACGGGCCTGTCAGGGGCACCTCAGGCTTGTCAGGGCCCAGGGACACCACAGTCCTTCCAAGGGTACCGCAAGCCTGTCAGGGGCACCAGAGGCCTGCCAGGGGCACCACAGGCCTAGCAAGGGCACCACTGGCCTGTCAGGGGCACCTCAGGCTTGTCAGGGCCCAGGGGCACCACAGTCCTTCCAGGGGCATTACAAGCCTGTCAGGGGCACTCGAGACCTAGCAAGGGCACCACAGGCCTGCCATGGACACCACAGGCCTGCCAGGGGCACCACCGGCCTTGCAGGGGCGCCTCAGGCCTGTCAGGGGCACCACGTGCCTGCCGGGGACACTTCAGGCTTGTCAGGGGCGTTACAGTCCTGTCAGGGCCCAGGGGCACCAGGCCCGTGGTGTCCCTGCTAGGCCTGTGGTGCCCCTGGCGGTCCTGTGGTGCCCCTGTCAGGACTGTGATACCCCTGATAGGCCGGTGGTGCCCCTGGCAGATCTTTGGGCCCCCGGGCCTCAAGGGGGGGCCATGACCCATGTGACCCCCCCCCCCTTGGATCCGCCCCTGTCCCTGCTAGGCCTGTGGTGCCCCTGGCGGTCCTGTGGTGCCCCTGTCAGGACTGTGATACCCCTGATAGGCCGGTGGTGCCCCTGGCAGATCTTTGGGCCCCCGGGCCTCAAGGGGGGGGCCATGACCCATGTGACCCCCCCCCCCCCCCTTGGATCCGCCCCTGCCGCTCCCTGCATGGAGGGAGGGATGGGTCAGATACTACAGTCGCGCAGCCGCTCCATCTCCAACATAGCCCGCTCCCTGCATGGAGGGAGGGATTAGGTCAGACACTACAGTCACGCAGCCGCTCCATCTCCAACATAGCCCGCTCCCTGCGCGGAGGATGGGGGATGGGTCAGATACTACAGTCGCGCAGCCGCTCCATCTCCAACATAGCCCGCTCCCTGCATGGAGGGAGGGATGGGTCAGATACTACAGTCGCGCAGCCGCTCCATCTCCAGCATAGCCCGCTCCCTGCAGAGCGCGGGAGGGATTAGTCAGACACTACAGTCACGCAGCCGCTCCATCTCCAACATAGCCCGCTCCCTGTGCGGGCGTGAGATTAGTCAGTCACGATCGGGTGTCCATGCTTCAACTATATACCCAGAGTAGGAAATTGAACAATAAAAATCCTTGATTAAAACTCATCAAATCTCGTTTCGCTTCGGAAACCAGCTGAGAAAGACCGGGCCGATGTCCATCGGTCGTCGAGCCCACGCTAAATTTGCCGCTTCGTAAATTATGCATGCAAGACAACGTCGCAATGAAATATCAAATACGAACATGAAACGTTGTAATTCTACCCCTCAGCCTCCATCCACCCGGTGTTCCGTACCTATTGTTCTCGCGGCGCTCGGAGATGTTCTCGGCCTTCTTCTGGATCTTGTCGGCGGCGTAGTGTCCCTCCTCGGTGAGCCGCTTGGCGAACTGCAGGATGCCGTTCAGCTTCTCGTCATTAGCCTCCATGGTGGTGAGGAACGCCTCGAACCGCTTGATCTGCTCCTCGGCCTGCTCCAGGTTAGCCTGCCGACGGAGCGGGGAGCGGGCGGGTTAGTGGTGACTACTGGACCGGGCCAGCGGCCCTGTGAGGGAGTGGGCAGAGGAGTCTAATCGAAACTGAGAACCAATGACTTGTTTGCTAATTGGCGGTTGATAGAAAGTCTGTCGCCTGAAGTCAAATCAAAATCAAAATTGGCGTAGCTACTTGAGTCAGTGCATAATGCAATTTAGCTGAAGATGCAGCTATCAAATATTCTGCTTAGATCACCAGTCATCACCAAAACAACAATGGCAAGCGAGACTAGCAATGCTCACACATTTCAACTAGGTTTAACTGTTGATCGTGAGCCATGAAAAGCGCACCTTCCAAGAAGTGCAGTAGAATCACTGGACTGGGATCGGGAAGGCGTGGGATGTTGCACTCAACTCATCGGCAAGGCTAGGTGGGCCAATCGGTGGGCGCTCCGTCAGAGTCCCTGCACAGGAGCTGTGCTGCAGGAGAGGCGAGCAGGGAGCACAGGAGTAGGCAAGAGCGCTGCAGAAGGAATGCAGGAGTTAGTGCGCAGAAGTAGAGCTGCAGAAGGAGCGCATAAGGTCACGTGTCGGTCGGCGGACTGAGAAAGGCGCGGAAGGACGCCGGAGCAACGCTCGACAAACGCCCCAGTCGGGGCCGGGGAGCTGTCTGCAGCGGCGGCGGCGGGATCGCACTGACCGGCGTGTCGACCTTGGAGAGGAAGTTCTCCTGCTGGCTGAGCGCCACCTCGCCCATCTTGGCGTCGCGCAGGAACATCTGGTAGTTGAGACTCTGCGACAGCAGCTGCTGGCGGTTCTCCCACATCTTGTGCAGCTCCTCCCAACTGATGAAAGTCAGAGAAATGGGTCAGAACTCACGGTAAGGTAAACACACACGGGGCTGCATTTTTGTCATTTGCAAATGTTAGACCGAAAAGTGTGTAGCCTTGTCATTCACACGCCATTGGTTGACAAAGCGTCTGATGAATAAGCTGTTTTAAGACCCTTCAATGCCTCACTCACGAGGTTCACTTGTCACCCGTCAGCCTCTCTTGCGTCCACTCACCCGTCCTTGAGCGCCTTGAGCCGCTCGCGCAGGAACATGTACTGCGGGTCGTCGGGCGGCGTGACGTCCTCGGCGGTCACGCGCTCGCCGTACTCCATCATCGAGTTGTAGTCGTCGTTGTAGTTGTCGATCTCCTCGCGGATCGTCTGGTGCTCTGTGAGGGACAGGGAGGGGAGTTTAGGATCGGGGTCTGAGAGGGTAGCCGACCGAGGGTCACATCACGTAATGGGCGTGACAGAAGGTGATGCCTTTTTTGCTATGTCTCTCCAATGAGCCGGTATTGCTCAGTCTGCATTATCTACCAGCTCTGTCCTCCCCTAGTTTGCCCCTCTCTCCCGACACTCACGGCTGAACAGTCACCCCACCTCCCTCCTCTCCTCTGCCCTCCCCTCCGCCCTCTCTCTCCCGTGACTCACGGCTGAGCAGCCACTCTGCCTACCCCTTCCTCTGCCCTCCCCTCCGCCCTCTCTCCCGTGACTCACGGCTGAGCAGCCTCTCTGTCTCCCTCCCTGATCTGCCCCTCTCTCCGCCCCCTCTCTCCCGTGACTCACGGCTGAGCAGCCTTTCGGCCTCCCTCCCTCCTCTGCCCTCCCCTCCGCCCTCTGCCCGTCACTCACGGCTGAGCAGCCTCTCGGCCTCTGACAGCGACTGAGGAATATCCTCCGAGGCCACGTCGGTCTGGGTCTTGGTCAGCCAGGCGGAGAAGTGGTCCAGGTCGCGCAGGAAGCGGTGCAGGTCGCCGGCCTCCTCCAGCTTCGAGTAGCGCTCCTTCAGCAGCTCCGTCATCTCCTTCCACGGCTGTGGAACGGTACGAGAGGGGGTGACGGGGTCATGAGGTGAAAAACACTGCAACACTGTTCTGCCGTATAAAGGCAAAACCCATTATGTTCGGGTGACCTCTGACCTGAGGGAATGACCTCTGACCCGACATAATGGTTTTTGCCTTTGCACGGCAGTGTTGGTCCCAAATCCCAAGTCCCAACAACGTAAAGCAACGATGTAGACGGCTTCTCCAGCTCCGGATAACAGGAACTCGCCGGGACAGTTAGCCGTGTAAAATTGCATCATACATCCAACGCGATGTCGACATGTCGGTGCAGTCATCCCACCTTCCCACCTGGAGCCGGTTCATGTCCCCTCGGCCCCAATCTCCCTAACATGCCACCCTACGCACCTCCTGGAGCTGGTTGATGTTCTTGCGGATCTCGGCGGCCTCGTCGGGCCGCTCGTCCTCGATGCGTTTGGCCTCGCGCTCGAGGTCGTCCAGCTTGGCCTGGATGGCGGCGATGTCGCGCTCCATGCCGTTCAGCTTGCGCTGCAGCGTCATGATGCCGGCCTGTGCGCGGAGAGAGGCAGAGATGGTCAGACGAGACAGGCGGGAGTTCAACACTCACATGGTCATTGCTTGCACTTGGTGTACGTCAGGTCGATAAATGGAAGAACCGTCCTTGAAAACAACACCAACCAGCCGTGGTTGGTGTACTACATGGTGAGAAATAGACATTCAATTAATGACTTCATCGGGAGACCTAAAGCAAAGGCTGCTTACACCGACGTATACAAATGGTTATCATAACCGGTCGTCAAAGAGTCAATCGATGTCACATGTCCCTCATCCCCGGTCGACCATGACTGTTAACTCGCCGACTACGGACGCCCGAGTCGAACCTTTCAGATGGTTGTACGCACCAGGTCGGAGCCCAGATCCTTGGTCTCGTGCAGCAGTTTGGTCTTCTCCTCGATCCAGGAGACGGTCTCGCGGATCTCGATGTGGAACGTCTGGTACGAGTGCGCAGACTCGAGTTCCTCCTTCTTCTTCTCGGCCTTGTCACGCAGCTGGGACCACTTCTCGTTCAGCTGCGGGGGTAAAACAGCGGAGCAGGGCCGTCAGAGATGAATCGTGCACAGGACGACTTGATAACTGGTTTGAGCACAATGTTTGTTTTTGTCAGCCTGACAATTAATTTATAGGGCGAACTCACGATTTGGCAATTATGCTGCTACTCTTCAATACTTCAAATATTTAGCGAGCATGATGTAGAAACCATCGCCAGTGATTGAAGAAAAACATAAATTCGAGCTGAGCTTAACAGTCTAAAGCCTGAAACAGACTCTTTCCGCAGTCAGGAAATCGCATGCGAGAGCCTATTCAAATACATGGAAGCACGCTCGCATCAATCGCACGCACCTCCCGCAAGCGATTGATGCGAGAAGAATTATAATGTATTTGAATAGGCTCTCGCATGCGATTTCCTGAACGCGGAAAGAGTCTGTTTCAGCCTTAATACTTGGAAAGAAAATAATATTCTACTACTCCTCCACCAGGTGACAGCATTAATCAACCCTATGTCTTGCCGCTACCCCCCCCCCCCCCCCCCCCGATCAACCTCCGTGCGCGGCTCACCTCGCTCTGTTTGGCGACGATCTCCTCGCTGTTGGGGTGCTCCACCTGCAGCAGCTGTTTGGCCAGCTGGTTCACCACGCCCACGCGGCTCGCGTTGGCGTTCATCTCGTTGTCGAAGCCCTCGTACTGGTGCTTCAGGATCTCCACGTCCTCCACGTCCTTACCCTCGCCGGGTACCATCGTGTTGAGCATGCGGTCCTGGCGGCGGGAGGCGTGGGCGGTAACGAGTGGTCTGGAGAGCATGGCGATTGCACAGTGGAGAGGTAGGCCGTGATGAATAATGATAATGCAATGGTAACGACCAACAACACAGAAACACAAACCGACAGCAGGCTATCCGTATAAAAAGTGACCTGTTTGCACTTGACAAGCTGTCGAGCGCTGCCAGGAACCTAGTTCAGACACGCGTCGCTGTGTTACCTTTTCGGTGATCCATTGGTCGACGCGCTGCGCCTCGGAGAACAGTTTGTAGAGCGACATGGCGTCCAGGAGGCGCTGTTTGCGCAGCTGACCCAGCTCGTTCAGCTCCTTGTACCTGGGGCGGCGGACAGGGGAGGTCAGGTCAGGTTAGGTACGGCTAAACGAGGCCTTCACAGTTCACCTAGCCGAGCGCCCCACTAGTCACAGACTCGGACTAAGTCCCACACGTGAGGTCAGCGATATACCGATTCCGTCACCATGAAACCCGATAACTAGCACGTCGGCCTCTGCGCTACAGTTTCTAATTCACCCTCTCCTCACTATATTCCCTCCTCTCACTCGCCACAAACCTCCCCTTCCCCTGTCACAACTCCCTCCCTTTCCTCTATAATCCCCCCCCCCCTCCTCCCTTCTCTATCATCCTTCCCTCCCCTTCCCCTGTGACAACTCCCTCCTTTTCCTTGTATAATCTCCCCTCCTCCTCCTCCCCTCGACCTCCCTCCCCTTCCCCCTGCGCTCCCCCTCCGGCACGCACCTCTGTTCGATGCTCTCTGTGCGCTCCTTGATCTCGTCTCTGTCCCTGTACTCGGGCCCGATCTCCTGCGCCTGCGCCTGCAGCTGCTCGATCGTCTCACGGTAGTTCTTCATGTCGTCGTCCACCTCCTTGTGTTTCTTGAGCAGGTTCTGCACGCTGCCCTCGTCGTTGCCGACGTCGTCTGACGAGACGAGCCGCAGCGTGTCCAGCATCCAGGTGTCAGTGTCGTCGGCGTCGGCGAAGAACTGGTGGTAGCCGATGGCCTGCTCCAGCTGCTGGCGGCGCTTCTCGGCGCGCTCCTTCAGACGGTTCCACATGTCCACGATCTCGTCGATGCGGCCGCGGATCCGGTCGGCGCCGAAGTGACCCTGGTTGACCAGCTCGTCGCCCACCTGGGTGATGGCCAGCAGCTGCGACTCGTGCGCCGCCAGGTCGTCCTCCAGCGCCTGAGAGCAGAGCGGAGGTCAGAAAGATGCAAGGACACCGTTCAGGCAGGCCTGAGAATGGGGAGGTCGTCGGATAGACGTCAGGAAAAGGCAGAGCGGCCTAAGGTCGGGGGCCTTGACGTTTCTAGTCAGTAACTAAGCACCGCTGTGAGATTTAACGGTTTTGTCGTGTAGCAGTATGTTATCTTAACTATGTAGTATTTCGTAGTGTTAGCGCCCCAGAAAATCACATGACATTATCTTCCATCAACCTTTGTAGTCCCCATTCCAACCCACACCGTCATTCCGCGGAACTACTGCCGGGACATTCAGGTGGCGACACCCAGCTGAGCTGTCCGTGGCGGGCCGCCGAGCCGCCGGCCGGCCCGGGGCCATCTGGCCCCTGGTCGTTACAGTCGGTATCCGATGGCGCCGGGTACACCAGACGAGGCGCTTCACGGCGCCGTTACCCGGGTTTACGGCCGCTGAAAATGGCACCGCTCCGCCCGCCCGGCCGGCCGACACACCGGCGCCACATGCAGGCCGTCACAGGCAGTTGTGTGCGGAGGCGCCTCAATACTGCTCTACGATTGAATTCCATTGTGACCCACTATCCGCTTCATCCGCAGCGAAGGCACGAAGCGGGTCGTTGAAGGCTTACTAAATGGATGAGCACTGTCATTTCACCAACTTACATAAGCTTTAATCTTCCATGAACTTGCTAGTTGCTACGCACAATGCTACGCTATGCATCCTAGCAACACAAGTCAAATAAGCCAACTAAGCCGTCCATACACCAGCAGGGTAAGGACGCTGACTGACCTTGTGTTTGGCCAGCAGGCTGTGGGTGGTAACTGACCTTGTGTTTGGCCAACAGTATAATATGGACGGTGACTGACCTTGTGTTTGGCCAGCAGGATGTGTACGGTGACCAGGTCGTTGCCGATGTTGGCCGCCGTGAGGATGTTGTCCTTTTCGCGGATGTAGTTCTCCTCCTCGGCCATGTCCCAGTAGAACTGCCACAGCTGGCGCGACTCCTCCAGACGAGAGCGACGCTCCAGCGCCAGCTTCACCAGCTCCGCGTACGCGTCCTGCGAGGGAGGGGGTGGAGGGTCATCGTGTGGGACAACAGAGGTCACTGGTTAGGGGAAGCTCCGCGTACGCGTCCTGCGAGGGACGGGGTGGAGGGTCATCGTGTGGTCAGCAGCCCGGCAGGGGTCACTGGTCAGCGGAGCTCTGTCCTGGGAGACGGCGGGTCACCGTGGGTCAGTGTAGGTCGCTATAGGCGTCCTGTTATAAAGATGACATTGGATAATTACTGATCCCCTGAGAAAATGGGTTAATGATCATAAATAGATCGATATCGATACGCAAGCAACAATCTGTTTCAAAACAAGTGTAGGTATTGAAGATGAGAGGAAATATTGTTCAATGAAATTAAGCTTTGCGGAGCATCGGCTAGGACATCGGATGACGCCCTGACGAGGGCCCAATTTACCGTCACGGCATACAAAATGGTGACCTAGGATTTACAAGCCACCTACTGCTAGGGTATGATTTCGCAGACATTTATGGCCTAAAGGACTCCATGCCCCATCCAAGTCTCCACGGGTTTACAGTCCACTCATAGTGGCCTAGTTATAAATCAATCACAACCCACTGACTTTTACATCCATGACCCACCGAACCCTCTCTCTACCAGCCCCCCCCCCCCCCCCCACCCCCGTGACCCCGTGCAGTGACCCCGGCACTGACCTCGAGCTGCTGGACGCGCTCGACCACGATGGCCGGGTCGCACGGCCGGTAGCCCTCCTCCGTCTCCTCGTCGACGAAGCGCCGCGAGTGCTGCACCACCGTCTTCACGCGCTCACCCAGCACGTTGATATCGGCCTAAGGGACGGGGACGCAGGAGGGTCAGTTAGCCCAACAGTGGAATGGTAATGTAGCTGATTAAGCAACTTTGTCCAGAAAATCGATCTAAAAATAAAATACATTATTGAAAAGCATTAAGGAACTTGGCAAATTAGCTATAATGCTATATGTGGCAAACACCTTCAGACGAACCTAGGTCTCAAGGTGAGTTTAACCAGGTCCCAAAATACCCCCTCATTGAATTTCTCACTCGACACTCATGCCCAAAGCGCCGCCCGCCGTCATCGGATTCTGACCTCGATGAGTGCGTGCTTGGACAGGAGGTCCTCGACTCCCATGAGGTGTTTGCCGTAGTCGTCGGAGAGCAGGCGCATCTTGTGCTCCTCCATGCTGTCCAGGATGTAGAGCATCTCCTGGAAGTTCTGCTGCAGCTGCAGACTCAGCTCCAGACGCATGCGGCGCGCCCGCAGCAGCTCTAGCAGGTAGTTCCACAGGCGCAGCACGTTGTCCTTCCTGAGAGCGATAAAGGAGAGAGGGTTAGGATGGTGTAATATCTCCGCGGAAAGACGTCGATAATGAACCGCGAACTTTGATGCTGGAAAATGTTGGGACAACCGAATCAGACAGGTGCCCATTTTAGCGCATTTCTGAATAATTTTACTACAGAACACATGTTGGTTGGTGCGCATCGTTCTAAAATACCATATCCTCCTGATTTCAAAGCGAAATGCCACCGTTCCGTTCCATCTCAGGCACGCAAGCACCCAACCTTCCATGATTTAGTCCAACCCTGCCGACTCATCACACCATGCCCCTCATAGCCAAGAAAATCTCCCCATCTTATATCCAATCAGTAATTACCCATTCCCGATCACATTACCAGACGACTTCATTCCATCTCCGTCCACATTCTTCATCTCCCTGTCCTATATTCTCCACCAACTACCCCATCACGCTCCCCACCTGGCGTTGATGCGCTCGATGTCGTGGTAGTTTTCGGTCTGCAGCTCCTCGGCCACGGCCACCACGGCCAGTACACGCTCCTCGTACGCCAGAATGTCCGTCTCGATAGCCTCGTGCTTCTTGGCAGACGCCTCCACAGCAGTGAGGTCGAAACCAAAGTTGTCCTGCGAGATGGACGAGAAAAGATTAACACGTGATTAGCAAGCAATCTCTCCGAAGACTTATTCAGCGGACACATAAGAAATGCATTTTATCGCGATAATTCGTAAACAGTTTTTACCGTCCTTATCGCGCATTTCCCGTTGCAAATCACCGGTGTCAAGCGTGAGTCCAGTTTGAGAGCTGGCATACGAGTTGGCTAACAAATCACTGGCCATTGGCCTATTTGCTCATCAACAGGTCGTCACACCCCACCTCCGGGCCGCCCCCATCCCCAGTGTTGCCGGGGGCTGTGGGTCTGTGGTATCCCCACTCATTAGCTCCGCTGTAGACCGGTGCGGCGTCCGATCGACCCGGGACCCACAGCAGCCGGCGCCGGCGGCAGACGCTGCAGCCGCGGCCCGTGACGAGGCCATCAATAATACCCAGTCGTCGGCCGGCCGCCGCCCCGCGACCGTACTAAATTAACGGGCCGCGCCCGCCAGTTGGAAAACGGTCCGGGACACGGTGCCAACGAGCCCGGGCCAGGCCGTACTTACAGGAGACACGACATCGGATTATTTGCGGTATTTATAGAACCATAGAACTGGAGCCGTGAAAACTGAGACAGTTTCAGAGCCAAATGGCTGTGAAGAGTTTATGACGACCGGATGATAAGTATGTACGAAAGTAAATTTCGCCTTCGGTTCTTGATCTTACCCTCCCCTTCCTGTGACATCCACGCCTTCAAATGCGAGACGAGTCATCAGTCCCCAGTCCTCACCTGTGAGACGAGTCATCAGTCTCCAGCCCTGACCTGTGAGACGAGCCATCAGTCCCAGCCCTCACCTGAGAGACGAGTCGCTGGTTCTCTGACAGCCATGTCTCGCGCATGCCGGCCTTGCGGTCGAACCGGGCCGCCAGCTGCTCGAGCTTCTCCTGTCGGATCAGCTCCTCACGCAGCGCCAGCTCACGCTCGTGCTCAGCCTTCTCCAGCCTGAGAAGAGAAAGGTATGGGTCAGAATGGGATGGAGGAGTACAGCTGAAGGCTGCGGCATGTGAACTGAAATGGTGCTGGTAGTAAATACTAATAGCAATTAGTCAGCACGGCCCATTACTCTCATATCTTACGACTGCAAAGCAAAGATGGTATGACATTTGTGATGTGAAATGCTATTAAAATGTAAACTTCGTCACTCAGGTCAAAACAACGCATATGACGATGAATTAAAACCAGTTGGGATCACCAGCCCCTGATTCGAGAAAGCAGTGTGCCACTCACTTTTCCCAGGCGCGGTTGATGTCGGCGATCATGAGCCCCTCGCGCGGCGTGTACGGCCGCTGGTTGTTGGCGATCATCTTGGACTTCAGCGTGAACAGCAGCACCTCCAGGTTACCCTTCTCGACGAACCTGCACGGCGCGAATACACACCGGTCAGACGGCGAGAGGTGATCGCAATCCTAAATGCAGCAAGCTACAACATAGGGATAAACGTCAACATTTTGACCATATACTTTACTCCAGTTCGAAACTCTGACAGCCACACGAAGGAGCAGTTTAGCGATCGGAGACTGTATGAATGACTCACGATAATGTAGATATATTGAGGTAATAAACTAAAGAGGAAGAGCAGAACCAAACCGATTATGTAGTAAACGGTAACAGTTAACCCCAAGTCCGTTGTCATTGTCGGTGACTCATTCCAAACGAGTAAAAATGAATGAACAATCGAGCCAATGTTTGTAAAAACACGACAATGGACTATGTGAGCACGCGAACTACCAATGAAACCTCACTTGACGACACTGAATGAGTGCACAACGCGTCCAATCACAGCCTACCAGCATACCACGAGCGACATCCTTGTCACCGTCTCCCCTAAATCCACTTCCATTTCCACTGCCTTCCTCCCCCCCCCCCCACTCCGATTCCTCATAATCTCTTCCCCCTTTCCGCACTCACTTGGGCGGCTTCTCGACGGTGCGATACGAGTTGAACTGGACCAGCTGCTCCTGCACGCCGCCCAGAGAGTTGGCGAACTGGCGCTGGCCCAGCTGCTCGATGGTCTCGCGGATCCAGCGCAGCAGCTCCGAAGTGAGGCTCTCGTACTCGTGGATCATGTGGTCGTTCTCCATCAGCGTGCCCACCACCTTGCCGATACGTTTCGACTGGATGGTCTCGGCGCGCATCTTGGAGAAGTAGTGGTAGTAGGTAACCACGTAGGTGATGATGGACTTCTCGTCCGGCTGCTCCATGCACACATCTGTGGAGGGGACGGGTATTGTCAGACATAGCTCAAATAGCAATTAGACCTCAATGACCCACACCTAATCCATTATGAGGGAGGATAATTTGGTGCGCTGTTAGAATCGACAAAAGAAATGATGCACTGCTCGTTGCCACTATATATTCTATAAGGTCTCCATCTGGCATTGAACAGAACAAAACCTGGATTTTAAGTAAGGAAAAAGAACTCCCAATTCTCACCCTTAAGCTCCATAGAATGGCAAGCATTTTAACCAAGTGGGGAAGAGAATCGCCGGCAGCGCGTTGTTCAGGGAATCCAGCCAGCGATTCGCCGGACAGAAGTTTGAAGGGCAGCCTGTTCAGTTCAGCACCCACCCAAAGGTCAAAGAGTCCCGCGGGGCATAGAAGACAGCCATGGCAGAGAGAACGATTCCCCCGCCGCCCACCCAACCTTTTAGTTTCAGATCGAAAGGCCCTTCCGTTTCAGCACGAGCCCATAAACATGCAAAGTTCGATGTCGCCTAACTTTTCGACGGCCGGCCATCGCATAACTCCCGGTGTCATCTCACATCGTTATTGGGACGTCTCGTTAAACCCAGCGACACCTCCGAGACCTGGAAAAGGCCTGCCAGCATCTCTATCTTCCCCCTCCGGCTGAAATATCCCTCCCTTCCACTCCGCCTCGCACTCACCCTCCGGGTCGAGCAGTTTGGTCAGGCCCAGCTGGCTCTCGGCCACGTTGAAGGCGTTGTTGAGGTTGTGCATCGGGTTGGCCTTGCTCAGCTTCTCGTACTGGATGAGGTCGGCGCGGTGCTTGTGGATGAGCGCGTTGAAGGCCAGGCCGTCGCGCCAGGAGGTGGTGAAGTTGCGGATGTTGACGTTGTGGTAGCCGGCCGTCTTCATCTGACACCAGAGCAGCAGCGCGTCCTTCGCCGAGCGCGTCTCCTTCGAGTCCGTCTCCTCAATGGTGATGTCTTGGATCTGGCCGGGGGAGAGAACTCGGTTAAAACGCCGAATACATGGCGGAAAGATACTACGCGGTGATAGCGTAGCGGTTTAGGTCGCATTACATTACAACATCCGCTTATATCCGCGGCATCTACGTTCAACAGCGATCCCATTTAGATAATGCTACTTCACCCTAGTTGCAATCTCAATCCTTACCTGTATCAGCACTCTAGCTAGGATCATTTTTACATCACACACAAAGTGCTTTGTTTTGGTCTCAGTCGGCGATGCATAAACGGCCTTCAGTTTCACCCATCACCGGATCGTCGCGCCGTTACCAAGACCCTCCAGCAGACGCTCCCGCCTTCCGTCGGAGTCGACATACCGACCAGCCGCCGGCGACAGCGGCCCGCTTTTAACGCGCGGTCGATACCCTAATGAACGAGCCTCTCGGACGGCGCTGGCTCCCAGCGGTGCCCGGCGAGACCCGGCGGACGGCGCTCACCTGGAACCGTAGGATGATGGTCCAGATAAGACCCAGCGTGAGCCGCGGGTTGCCGTCGACCACGTCGTGTGCGCCCAGGTTCTCCAGGTGGACGCGCTGCTCGCGCAGAAACTGCAGCGCCTTCTCCACGTTCTCCAGACAGTGGATGCGCATCTTGCCCTTGGTCGGCCGCGGCTGTGGGCAGGGCAGGGGGCGGGGTGTCAGAGGGGGAGGGGTGGAAAGGTCACGACACGGCTGACTCGCTCGGCACGCCGCGTTGGTCCGGTCTAATTGGACCGGCCGGCGCTGGATCGACTCTGACACGGGCCACCGCGTGTCGGCACTGCTAACGATAACGAGCGACATGACGGAGCGCCGCCGGCCGGGGTCCATCGCCAATATTATTAGTATCAGTCTAAGCAGGTCTTATAAGGATTTCGTATCTTTCAGGATATCTACAGGTTGTGTTCGCATGTGTCAAAACAAACACGCAGCAAACAAACTCAGGTCGTCGCTATGAAATACGACAGACTATTGACTATGTCATGATGGTTATCATGAGGGCAGGATCATTCTGTCATTGACCTGCTGACATTTGGAATGGAGCTAAGCGGCAGCAACCATATTTCACATTCCATATACCACGCCTTCATAAATGCCGGTAATACCAACGAACAGTCACAGCTATCGATTGAGGCATCATACCTACGCCCGGGACTGAACTATGCTAACGAGTTCAGGCCACGCTCGTTTATTCCACAAACAGTGGCTGGTTACGCTGTATCCAAGCCTGCCGGGCGGTACTAGACTAGGTCGGCCACGTCAGTCAGGTACTCCGTCAAATAGCGGAACTCCCGGAATAGCGGGCGAGTTGGCGCGAGCCGCAGGCCCCGTGCAACAACAATTCGTCAGCAGCGCTCGACGTCAGCGCGTGCGCACGAGAGCAGAAAACGCCGACCGACACATCAACAGGAAACGCAGCGTATGGCATTCCGTTCGGCTAGCGTTCTGCAGTGGGACCGACCGACAGGCGACCACACCGGGCACACCGCGAACCCGGCCGCCCTGCAGCCGGGTAGCGTGATAGGCCGCGACGGGCTGGCACGGCCGCCGTAACCCGACCCGGCCGGCGCGCCGCGAACCTCCAGCCCCGGCACGGCCTGCTGCGAGTCTCCCCGCGCCCCCGCCCCGGCCAAGTCGGCGGTTACGGCGGCGGGGCAGCTACACCGGCACCTTCCACAGCCGCGAGAGGGCGTGTCACCCTGCTCGAGCAGCTGCCGCCATGGCTGCCCACGCAGCAGCGGTGAGATGGGACCGGCAGGTCGGCGCCATGCGGCGGGGTCGGCGGGCGGCAGGGATCGGCGTTATTTTGGGGAAGGCGTGCGATTATTTTGGGTGCCGGCTCGTGCCCGGTCGGCTCCCCTCCGAACGTGTTTCTCCTGAGCCGGCGGTGGCGTGCGGCGCCGAGAGGGCGTCATCACTCAGCCGCCGCCGACTGCCGGTCCCGGTCTTACAGGGCCGTGGAAACAAACCGACACGTACGACCACCGAACAGCGATAAGCAGACGTTACAACACGGTTTAACTGGATCGTTGACACAGCACGAAGTGTCAATTCATGCAATCTAACAGGGAAAGGCGGTCATACCCCATGTCACAGACCAGCACTAGTTTCAGCACATCAGTGTTACAGACATCCCCAGCATATCGCAATCCTCAGCCCTGGATTACCCGTCGACTGGTCAGTACCCCGGGCACGCAATTCATTTCCGAGGCACAGTGCTCTCCTTAAGTGAATTAAATGACAGGAGCCGAGCACACAACGGCATTTTTCCAAATTTCAAAGCGGGCACACCGCGAACCTGGTGTCTTCTAAGGTGAATTAGCTAGTGACGGCTACCCAGTGCCCACTCACCAGTCGCTCTCCGGAGAGCACCTCCAGCAGTTTGATGAGGTAGCGGCCATCCCGCAGGTCGGTGTAGAGGTCGGCGGTGCGACACTGCACCCGCACCAGGTGCGAGTTCACCCACTTGGTAAACGTCTTCTTCTGTACATTCTCTCGTTCGCCTGCAACAAACAAACACAGTCAGCAACTCACGCCGTACACAGCCGACAAACGAATGTAAAACCAATCTCAAACGCCCGGTACCGTCGAGTCCGCGGCTATAAAATGCCGCGCCGAGCCGGAGCCATTTCGAGCCGGCGGCGGCGGCGCCGCCTGGACGGAGTTCACGGTATCGACCCGGCCCGCCCGGGCGCCAATGTCAGTCCGCCGGCCTCTGCGGTCCACTTCTGACGCAGTGGGGCCGAGCGTCCCCCGGGAAATAACCCGTACCGGTCGCCTCATCAGGCAGCGGTGGACGCCGCGCGGAGCTCCCCGGTCAGCTCGGCACAGCGCGAGGTCGGCCGGCCGGGCGGGCGGGGCGGGCTCTCCTAAGTAGCGGTGCCGGGTCGAGCGACGTGCGCCCGCCCAGGACCGCCGCCCGCCGCCTCTCCTCTCTGAAACTCTCCACTCTCGATTCCACGGGCGTCTCGGCCCGACCGGCTTCCGGCATCGACCCACAGCGAGGCGGCAGCGGCGGCGGCACAAGGCAAAGGCCGCGCCGCCGCCGACGGAGCGCCGCCCCGCCCCCGAGCCGCTAATACCACCGCAGCAGAAACAGCGACGGCCGGCGGAGGTGGGAAACAGCTTCGACAGGATTCAATACACAGATGCGATTTATCCTATCCAATACACCACATAGTACATACGGACCATCAATACCAAAAGGCGTACCAATGCATCCTTGCTGTTGAGAACAGCATTGCCGCGCCCGCCCATTTCAAGAAATACCGCGTGATTCAATGACTCATCGCGATTCTTCACCGCACCCAGATCCCCGCGCGCGCCGCCTAATGGACGCAGACACGCTCAGCACACACTCCACTCCTCTCCTCCCTCCCTCCCTCAGATAACACAGAGCAGACTCCCACCCTTCCCGACCACCCCGTCCCTCCGCTGCTCCGCCCCTCCCTGCGGCGGGAGCCCGGTGCCTACCTCGCCGGCTGCCGACCACACGATCGTAGATATCACTGACGTCCACATCACCGCCCTCGTCCACATCCCACATCGCGGACACACCAGCGGACACAGCGGCGGACACACGGGCGGACACCGCCCAGGGTCCGGACACGGCGCGGCAGAGGTGGCGCGGCACTGAGCCGAAATCGGCACCGGCGCGCCGCGACACCGATAGGCCCGGCTGATACAGGCCGCGCTGGGTAAATACTGGGTCGGCGACTCAGTGGCGGCCGGGCGGGGGCCGACCCGGCCGGCAGGACTGCACAATAGAGTCACTGCACACACAGTGCGCCGGGTGGGGCCGCTCGAATACGGCCCGGCTCAGGAGCGTTGCTTAGTAGGCATGGGCACGGAGAGTGGACTGATGTGCGGTCTCTGGCGACAGACGGAGACCGCCATCGTGGCTTCATCCCGCCAGAGCGAGTGATCACGGATCATCCACCGCCGCCCACCGCCGACCAACCAAGGCGCATTGTCCTGTATGTAGCATTCAAAGTCTGCCGCCCACCGCCCGCCGCTCGTCCGTCCACTATCCACTGCTAACTGCCTACAGTCCGCGTCTGTCACCGCCCACTATCCACTGTCCACTACAGTCCATAGTCCACCGCCCGGCGCCCACTACCCACTGTTCACCCTCCACACCACAGCCCCGCCCGCCGCCGTCCGGTCTGTCACACGACTGGCGTGCCCACGCAGTCGCCCCGCGCCGCCGTCCCCACACCCTGTTTGCGTCGAATGCGCCGCAGTGCGGCCTATTCGCGCCGCATTCGACACGGCTGCGACGCCGCCCCACGTCACACAGGTCGGACGTGCGCCGCGTCAGCCGCCACCGCGCCAGTGCGCCACTCGTCGCCGCAGAAGGCGGAACGCGCACGGTCCGGATGCTGGGAGCTGGTAGCGCGCATCAGTGTGTGCTCATCAAACAGACAATAAACGGTATTTGGTCTCTGAGTACCTGTGAGCATTCCATTACGATGCCGACCCGGTGAGTGTGGCCGATCAGATAAAATATCAGCTTTCCTGGCTTAGTCAAAGCTTGCGTGTTGGTAAAAACCAACGCAGCGCTACTGAATCCTGTTATCCAGGATGTGATCTGAAATTGAGCCAATTAGTGCAGCCCAGGTGACCGGCAGGGGGCAGGGGGAGGGGGGGTGGAGTGGCCTTCCGCCGCACCGCCTCTGTCCCGTCGTGATTCACACCAGCGTAATGCTCTGTTTACACCGTACTACAAACGTCCTGTTTTACAGCGCGGTAAAACAAGCGGTCCTGCACGTCACACGCCGAAAGTTCCGCGGCTCCGGCCTTGACGGCAGCCGCAGCAACCAGAGACCAGCGACTTTTGGAAAAAGGTGCCAGCCAGCGAACTCCGAGCCAAAGTAACACTAACAGTCGGCACACTAACAGTAAACAAACACGGCGCCACACCACGCAGCCACGGGAGGAATATGGCGTGACCGGCCGACCGCGGACCGCGAGCAGACGGCTCTCTCGGACCGCGCGGCACGATCCCGCTGACCGCAGCTGCACGACTCGGGGTTCGCGGCGGACATCGACGGTGGTGGTTCCCCGCGGTTCCCGACGTGACTACTGGGTTACCGCGGTTCCCGACGTGGCCGCTGGGTTATGGCGGTTCCCAGGGCTCACAGTGGAGAGCTGGCGAATTTCGTACAGCCCAGCTGTGTCTCATCCGTGTACTCTGAAACTAATGCCTCCAATCTCCATGTTTCGTCTTATTCAACAGAACATCTAGAACGCATCAGCTATAGCTTTCAGTTCTTACTCCGCCCCTTCCTAAGTCACAGCCCCCTCATCACCCTCCTCACGCACTTTCCTTCAAGCATAGTAGCCGGCCACCCGCAATTGAACTATCTCACAGTATCGATACCGTGATCACGAACCCACGGACAAGATCACGGCCAGGCGATGCAACCACATTGACGCAGACAGACGATAGGATGGGACCACAACAGGCAGCCGATAGGATAGGATCACAACAGGCAGCCGATAGGTCGGTCGGTCGGCCCCACAGATCAGCCGGGGTTCAGCGCCGACCATAAACCTCCCGCCGAGACACGGTCCAATAACCAGCCACCGCCCCACCGCCGCGCAGCGTCATATCGTGGAGAAATACAGACGCCGTTAGCCCGTTAGGTTCCATATGTGTGCGCGGTTGGATAGCGATGATGCCGTTTGTCTTAGAGCTGGTGTAAGGCTCCAGTCGTCAAAATCAAGGGTAAGAGAAATTAGTTCAAAACCATGATAGGGGGGCCCCAGAGGCGTCCCGAGTCCGACCGGTGTTAGCGCAGCTAATGGTGGTGGTATTGAAACATATTCGCTGTTCACATATCAGCCAAATGTACAGACTCTCGCCGCTCGTGAATCAGGCTTTGGTCCCGAGCTCAAACTGGGTTGCAATGCGTCAACGACTCAACATTGAGTTATACCGTTAAAACATTGAGTCGTCCAACTCCTCCCCCCCCCCCCCCATTCCACCCCCTGAGGCAATGACATAGTTCGACACGGCGGCGGCCTATCAGGCCCACTGTTTGTGGCCGCCCACGCCCACGGCGAGTCACCGCCAAGCAACGTGACCAGTCTCCAGCAGCCGTCAGCACCTCCGGACGGTGACGTCACGCCTCTCCGCGACCCCCCCCCCCCCACCCCACCCCTCCCCCGCCTACCCCTCCCTCCAACCGACACGAGGCGCCCGGCGTCTCAATCACCGGGACTCAGTCCGAGCATCATTCCATTACCGGCTGACGTCAGGCCGGCGACAATATCGTCCCGGGGCTACGACACAAGTGCCGAGAGAGAGGTGGCTGCGGAGCCAGGCGGTACGCAGAACACGGTCGACACACTGCAATATGGGCGAGGGGCAGACGCGCGACGCCGGCGATGGTAGGGGAAACGGGGATATGGGGGAATCGAGCCAGAAACGGAGCCCAAGGAATGCAGACACAGTCGAGATGAAAGGCATGGTATTGATCGCGGTGGACATGAGATTGGCAAGAGCGAATTAGGGACAGCGAAACTTAAATGGAGTGTTGACCGGAGGGTGAGACTGATAGTGCCTGGACGGGGGAACTCGAGACGCTCCGAGTTCGGACCGCTGTTGGTGCAGCTGCCGCCGGCCGGCCCCGTAACTGATAGTCTCGGCAAACAGCGCTATCGAGCGCTGCCGGATAACCTTTACCCGAGCCGTGAGAGAGCGAAGCCGTTCACGGGATAGCGCCAGACGGTCGTATCGCTCGACTTGCGACACGGATCGTAGAGGGGGTAGATTGTGGGCAAACACCGGTCCGGGTGTTCTGCCGCTCTTTTCCCTTTAACGATAGCTGTGCGGCGAGCTTTTATAGCAGAGCAGACACTGCCGTAAAACCAACGGGAGCAATTGCGCCGTTTTATTTCCCAGTTTCGCGCCGGGCCTAAGAGGACAAGCGCGATGTTATTGCCTGAGGGGGAGGGGTGGGGGCTCATCCGGACGCCAGGGCAGAAAAATGGCACGACATTCCCCACTCCTTAGTCATTTGTTTACATCGAGAACAAACAGGATCCAGTCACCAGCTCGATCGAGCCATGCAACAGCGCTAAGAGGGGGGGAGTGAACCACTATACCAAAGTAATATTAGCCATGCCAGCTGCCTAGCTTCGGAGGTAAGACACAGATCCGGGGGTGTCTCACGTAAATAAGAATTAGAAGGACGACTTCGTTCCATCGATCATGGAATGGACGGTCCGGTTGGTAGGAGTCATTGCTGCTGGCAAGCACAGCTGGTGAAGTTTGAGAAGGAGCCTCCTCGTCTGCTCGCAATGCACCTGCATTGTTGCAGTGCGTCACCGCAAACTGCGCTGCACGGCCTCTTCAGTCGGCCGGCCCGACAGCCTTTTACATCCACCGCTATCGGCCCACCGTGCGGCCCGATAGGGCACCTGCTGATACCGGGGCGGTGGAATGAATCAGCCCGGAGCTGTGTAAACCGAGTCTACTGTCGCCACCGGGACAGAGCCGGCCGGCCGATCGGGGTCGGGTGGGAGCCGCCGCACCGCCCCCGCCCCCGCCGCCGCCCCCGCCGCCGCCCCCGCCGCCCCCGCCGCCGCCGATGCGGTGTTTACAGTAGCGCGAGCCGCGGCCCGGTCTGGCAGCTTCGATCGCCAGCGGTGGCCAGGGCCGGGCCGACGGTGGCCAACCAGCCAGCCAAAACGCCCCACTGCCAGCCGGCCAGCTGGGGACGACTGCACAGCTGGGGACGACCCTTACCGGAGGGACAGTCAGTCCTGACCGCTCACTCCGGCCAGCTCGGTAACCAGCGGAAAACAGACATAGACGGAGACCACAGCTGGTGCCAACTCCTGTCCTGATAACCCGCCAACAAACCAAGCCACACCCCAACCGCCATGGCTTCGTCGAGCAGTTTAGCGTCACAGCTCGAACAGACAACACTAAAGCAGCTAAGCCTTGCTTCACCCTCTTACCTCGCAAGGCCCTTGCTAGATTGATTTTCGACACCAACAATGGCATCCAGACAACCCAATGACCCACACAGTCACCTAACCAATGGCCATCCTTTCATTTTGCCGCCGTCACCCAGCCAGCAAACCACCCGGCCACGCGCCTACCCAGCCAACTACCCAGTCAGCCAGTCGCCCGTCAGCCACCCACCCTTCCTCCTAACCCGCGCGCACCAGCCCACCCACCCACCACCACCAGGCGCCGGGCCGGGCCGGTCCGGGCGGTCAGCGGCTCCCGGTTCCAGACGGCGACCCAGACTGCTGACACACCGCCGCTGGCCAAAGCGGCGGACGGCTCGTCGGAAATCGGCCGGCTGGCCGGGCGCCCGGACCGCCGGGTCGCTCGCCGGCCGTCACACCCGGCCCTTAACCCCTTCCGGTGCGACCCGTACCCCATTCCGACGCGCTAAGAGCTCCTCTACCGAACGCTGAATAGCGGAGGGTTTGACGTGCCCTGTCTAACGAGACGCCCGCTCGCGTGACTGCAGCCATTCTCGTGGCCGTGAGACAACGACCGTACGATGGGACCGCACAACGAAAACTGCCGTGTCGCTGGCTGTAGTCGGACATGAGCCCCACGCCAGCGCTCCTTATGTGAACACGCTGTCCACAGCGCGGCCCTGAGTCCATAACTCAGCACAAAACAGCGGCTCGCAGACACCGCGCTGGCACGGCGAGCCGACTGACATCACCGCCAAATTCGGCCACATCGTCAGCCCTTCACCGAGCGGGCGGCTGGTTCGGGGAGCTGCCTCCATCTGACCTCATTTAGCTAGTCTCCGTCTGCACATCAACCCTCCATTGAACAGCCGAGCGACATGCCCAGCCAGAACAGCGCCGTGCGCGGGAATGAGCGCGGCTCACCTGCAAGGGCCTTGATGCGCGACCTCTCGAAGAGCCGCGACGATGAGTTTCCTCCGTCGTACTCCATATCGTCGCCCATGTCCTGGTTGGTGACGGGGTCCCATCGCGGCACGCCGATGTCGGTCGTCATGGTGACGGCGTGGCCGACCGAGCCGACCTCAGCTCCGCCTCAGCGCCCGCCCTGTAACGGAGGGACGAGAGGGTCAGCACCGACCGAGCCGACCTCAGCTCCGCCTCAGCGCCCGCTCTGGAACGGAGGGACGGAACGGGGCGGTCAGCGGCGACGGTCGCATTTGAGGGCACAGCAGAGCAGAGTAGAGCAGGACAGAACAGTTACGGCCGGTCAGCGCACGGCGAGATCTACAGTGTCAGGGCAGAGCAGAGCATAGTATGTAGAGCAGGAAAGAACAGTCAGGGCCGGTTATTGTAAAAGATGCGGCACGTTAGGATAGGGAACTATATGGCAATACAGGGAAAACTGAGCAGAGAAGGGCACTGCACAGCAGGTCGGGGTAGATGATGGGAGGAGGGCGGAGCAGGAAAACTCGACTGCTCTCCTCTCCGGGTAGGTCTAACTAGCCATGATGCCTGGTGAGGTCGACACGCCATTCTCACATAAGGGTCCGTTGTTTGGGTGCAGGGTGTAACAACATAACGACCCCAGACTTGTTGCACCAGGGCGCTGCAGGGCTGATGATAATGACGATGATTGGCACTGAGGGCTTTTTATTACCGTTGCGTACCGTGAAAAACTTCGTGAGAAAACGCGTCAGTTGGGCATGCATGGGTCGGTCGAGTCCGGTATGAATGACACAGGCCGACTCACGACTAACAAAGATGTGAGGCATCAGGACAGGGAGGTGCATGCCAGGACGGCTCAGACGTCAGCGGTCTGTCCCGTGACACTGGTCAGTCTCAGTCCGTCGCATCTGGACACGACGGCTGACTGACGCAAAGAGTCCAGAAATAACCCTGGCAGGTAATCATGTGGCAGAGTAACCCAGGACTGTCATAAAATGACGTCGCAGAAAATGTTTGGAGCGTCGATCCATTTCTCGTTGCCTTGTAATAATTGCAAACAACCAATGTCCAATCGTACCCGATTCTTATTTGATTCGTCTAATTTCAAGGGAGTTCAGAAACAAAACTTAGAATACCATTGCTTTCAAATAAACACAGCAATAGTAGTTCAAAATCGTGCCTTCCTTCGCATGTTATACCCGCATCAGCGTGTCAGTTCAATATTTCTGACCTATAATTAGATGACAGGTTTGTCCCACACCGGTAACACAGCCCACAATAGCACACAGCTCAACTGACCGCAGCCACAAACGAGCGCGGCGCGGCGGATCACCGCACTGCAGTGTTACCGGACCATGCTGGTTGCAACGTCCACTCTCCGGCCACAACATTCACCGGCCGCAGACACCATGCGTCGGCGACTAGTGTGGTTTGGTCCGTACCAAGGTCTCCCTCCACACATCTCAGCCTTGCACGACACCCAGACCACCGAGAGAAAGCATCACAATGTCCACACATCGCGACCATGTCGAGTCATTTGTCCACACACCATAGAGAGATGGGCAGACGCCAGACAGCGTGGGATGACGACGAAAGAAGAGACAACACTAAGGCAGAGAGACGCAGACTGACGGGTATACACAGCAGACCAGTAGGGAGAGACAGGAGGAAATGGCAGAACAGCAGACGGAGACGGGAGGAGGAGACGGGAGGAGACTGGGTGAGGCAACACTCTCTCAAGGCTGAATGTTTCGGCAGTCACACTGACAAAGGAAGAACATTACCGTAATGGAACGGGAGCCGAATAAGACAAGTTTATGTTGGACCCCAATAATCATTTCGAAAACATCAGGCAAGTGGCGTTGTTTCGCTTCGAGTCCCTGTAGATGAGTCACCACAAAACGGGGCAGAACACCTGAGTTACCTACCAGCCCTCCACATTCGGAGTCGGCGCCTAATATAGTCCAACAGATCTGCTGCGAGGTAAGCCATCCCCACTTTGCATTTACTTGCCCAAAGCGACACCTGCGCATCTGTTCAGCGCCGAAAGGACACCTGTTGTTTGTGCTGTATGCCCTCACTCTAATTCCTATCATACCCCCCCCCCCCCGCCTCCCCTACTGATCCAACATCACACCCATGGAGTACAAGTTTCGGAAGATCAGAAGACACTGATAATCCGTGCGTAGAATGTGGATCGGTTGGAGCCAACTGACAACATCCAGCAGCCCCACTGGACACTGCTCAACTGCAAGGCACAACATTCCTGTCACAGCACCCAGGCGGCGACCGGCGGGTCTCCCATCCATGAACCATGGATCGTCAACTGTGTGCACTGTGCAGAAAGTGTTTGCATTGATACTTCACGACATGGGGGCGACGGGGAGGCGAGGGCGATGCAGGGGCGACCGGCGAAGTAACAGGTTGGCCGCTGCAGCCAGGACGCACATGCAGCCGCCAGGCACAGCTGGTGCAGACAAAGATAGGTGGCATCAGAGTGGGGAGACCAGCGTCTGGTGCGCTGTAACTGTATGGATCGAGTGACGGTGATGCAGGGGATCCAAGGACGAACCGAAGTTCGGTCTGCAATAGGCTGGTGGTGGCGAGTGCGATTGTAACATCCTTATAGCCTGCAAGAAAGTCAGCAGAGTTTTCGGTTTGTGACTTTACGATGTGTTCGCCCCGTGAAAAAAGCAAACAGTACAGGATATAAGGCCTATTTTGCATTTCGGTTGATATCATTTTTAATTTTTCACGCTGAGCAAGTTGTAATGACAACGACGCTAGGGCAAAAAAGAACATTGTAAGCGAATACTCATAACTAAGGACTGTGACACAAGGACCCATAAGTGGGGACGGAACAACAAAAGACCGACGTGTAATGTCGACACAGTGCCATCGATCAAACGAGCGTCCCATTGTCCCAGATACGGCCGCCGTCATTGTGAAGGTCCGGACACCGCAGATCGGCCACCGAAGGCTAACTGTATGGAAATCACGCCCATCGGACACATATTACAGAACGAGACGACAAACTGACCGGAAAATTACACCTGAAAACGAAACACAAGACGTAGTTCGACCGATAATACAGTGTAGCTTGTCACAAAACGCTACAAATCAGGGAATGTGGAGTGCTTCAGTAGGCAAGTCAACCAAAAGTTAAGTGTCATCAATAACAAGCTGCCTGGTAATTGATAAATACCTAAATGCAGTATCTTGCAAAAAGTTCACGATTTTCACAATTAAAGCAACTTTATGGCTGTCTCGTCCCGACTTCAAGCCGTTTGAGAGCTGCCCTAGCTGCCGGCAGCCCGGCCGACTCGCCCCACACGGCTCTGCTCGGCGACCCAGGGTCGTCAGTCGCTCCCCGCCCGGCGACCCATGGTCTTCAGTCCGCTCCCCGCCGCCGCGCCGCAGTCGCACCTGTGCCAACCAGGTGTCCGAGCAACACGCGTCCTCCATTTGTCCCCGGTCATGGCTGGGGGATGAGCCGACTGCCGAGGTGGGGCGGTCGAGAACGTGCATATTGCACAGCGCCCTTTTCACTGAGTACCAACCAGTTGTTCTTTTTCTTTTTCACTGACCGGTCATATAAAGTTCGTAGATTTTAAGGAGATCACATGATTGGGACACATTTTGGAAGACATTTTTCTGGATACCTAGACATCAAGCCCAACAGCCCAAATACCAGGGCTGCGGAGTCGATGGATTTTCGGCGACTCCGACTCCGACTCCGACTCCGGCTTTCAAAAACCAGCTCCGACTCCGACTCCGGGCAGAATTGTCGACTCCGACCGACTCCAACTCCCGACTCCGACTCCGCAGACCTAGCAGGGCTGCGGAGTCGACAGATTTTCGGTGACTCCGACTCCGACTCCGGCTCGGGTTTCTAAAATCGACTCCGACTCCGACTCCGGTCACAACTGTCGACTCCGGCCGACTCCGACTCCGACTCCGCAGCCCTGCCAAATACTAGTGAAAATGTTCGGTGTGTGAAGAGGCAGCACTACTTTCAATACCTAATACGAGCGACGGAGCGCATAGAGACTCCCGTAAGCTCTATCAAAGAAATTGCAGGTTCATGAATAACAATCAATACCTGTAAATGTACCGAAGGGCTGCCGGCGGCAGAAAGATATCGCGTCAGAGAAATCATTTACATAAGCAGTGTTGAGAAAATTCTGCCTGGATCGCTGGCCTTTTGAAAATAAACATCCACCCTATCATGTTATACACACTAATTAAATGACCAGTAGGTAAAGGTATGCTCGATAAGCTTGCTTAAACTAGATGCGTCCATGACCGAAGCGTGCTAAGCGGCAGGGAACAGCGCACGGGCCGACAGTTTGTGTCTGGTGAACAGCTCATCATAAGGTGAGTCAGCCTAGCTCCGGTTCGCGGCCACATCAGGTGTTCTCTGAGAGGGGGCGGGAGGCACGTGCCGCCCTCCCGATCACCTGACACAAGCAGACAGGGATGTGGGGAGGGGGCGGAGTAACGGGGTCGACCCGGCAACACCAGCAGACAGCAGGGTCTGCCGGCGGCGGCGTCAGACAGCCGAGGATTAGCGCCGCACGTAACAGGATTGATGGCGGCCGCAGACCGCCGACCGCCGGCAGCCATTCGATGCCGCTCCGTCACAGGAAGGGAAGTCGGCGACACCAGTCCGGCTGCTGGACAAAGGACAGCCACAACACGAGGGGCCTACTCACACCGTTGCAGCACACGCCGCGATTAGTGATCGATTTGGGCCGCTGAACCCCACCCTCGCCTTGGACATCGATCCGACGTCCGCGCCGGCCCGGCTCGGGCCACAGCGGACACACAGACTGACCGGCAGACCGACCGGCGGCGGTTCGTGGAGGGCCGTCTCCCCCGGGCGTGACCGACCCATCTGGCCGCCGCGCCGGGGCGTGGCCGGGCCGCCGCGACGCTGTCGTGATGCCACCGCCACCGGCGACTTCCGGCCCCGCCCGCGGCGACACCCCATTCCATTACCGACGCCAAGCCGCACCAGGCGGGCCGCCAGCACCACCACCAGCGGCGGCGGCTGTGACAGCCGCTGACAGCTCAGATGCAGAGTGGGCGAGCGCTGCTGTCTGCATGTCCAGAGGGGGAACCAGCTCGAGCGACCACCACCTCACCGTGCAGTCGATA